CTAGCTAGCTGCTAGGAGGATGTCATGTCATGCCATTGGAGGAGTGGGTGAGTGACTGACTTTTTCCCCTCATATCGTTTTTCGGTTGTTATACACAGCTAGAGATGCAGGTATCATTTGGTTAGCTAGCAAGACCTTGAACGACTGTTATCCAGTTAGCATATCTCTTGCATTTGCAAATTCACTCTGGTTATCTACTCCGATTTCAGTGTGCCAGAGCGCAGAACAACTGATGAATTTACAAACGCGCAACACCCGCTGAATATGAACGTAATATGAACGTATGAATGTCAGTAAATATAGGCCAAAAAAGTAATAGTTAGTCAAGAACGCTCTAGATAACATGTAAACAGCCTAACCAGCTCTGCTACTGCAAGTAAAATAGTCAAGAGTGAGGTGTTCTCTCATTTGTGTCTAGATGTAGCTAGCTAGCAAGCTAGCCAACTTTAGCCAGTTAGCTTGGGTGCTTGGTTGGGACAAGCATGCATTGGCAGGCAAGCTGCAGAAGGACGAGGAAGCTACAATTCCCCATCGTTTATCAGTGCAATTTTGACAGCTAACTAGCTGAAAAAGTTAGAGGGTTTATCTAATATTCCTTCGTTAGATTTTAGCTCATCTTGCTCTGGCTAGCATTAGTTGTTGATCTTGTTGTTGTTGATGTGCATAACTGAGGGAGAGAGAGCTTACCTTTTCATGGTTGTTTGATCAATAGGACTGTAAAGTTCACAAATGTGAGAGAACTCCTGTGCTGTTTAGATATTTGCAGAAATCCATTCAGGTGTATTTTGTGGCTTTTGGCGAATGCGTTCTAATGATCTAAAGTCACGCTATTGCAACTGCCTGTAAACACACAGTAAGGTTCAAGGTGAATGATGGCAGGCCCGTGTGGCAAATGGCTTGTTTGTATAAAGGCCTACTGTAGCTCTGTTTGCCTATAGCGCACCGGTCTGTGTAGACTCCGGCCCTGGACAAAACAGATGTTTCTGGTCTCGGTCTTGACTAGGTCTTGGACCCCTTGTTCACCTTCCGGTCTTGGTCTTGACTCGGACTCGATTTGCTCCGGTCTTGGTCTTGAATCGGTCTCGCTTTAGGTGGTCTCAAACACAACACTGGTTCTTTATGATAGCCACATTAGCAGCTAACTAGCATTTCATTTTTGGGGGGTAAATACAGGCGAATATATTGATAAAAGTCACCTTGTCCTAGAGAGATTTACACGATTATCAAAACGTCACACCAGGGTAAGCCTACACGAAACACGGTCCTTATTTTAAGTGTTTCTAAAATCCCCTATGGGAAAAATGAATGGTTGAAAAACCATTGGAACCATTTCTGTCACGCCCTGACTCTGGGGACTCGTATTTGTTGAGTCAGGGTGTGTATTTTCTGTGTGATTTTCTATGTTGTATTTTCTATGTTTGGATCTAGTATGCTCTAGATCTATGTTGGCCTGTGTGGTTCCCAATCAGAGGCAGCTGTCGCTCGTTGTCTCTGATTGGGGACCATACTTAGGCAGCCTATTGGCACTAGTGGGTTGTGGGATCTTGTTCCGTGTTAAGGTATGTTGTGTTGTGTTGTGCTGCCTTGGACTTGGACTTCACGTATCGTTTGTTTATTGTTTTGTCGTTGTGTTTATTCGTTAATAAACATGTATGCATATCACGCTGCGCCTTGGTCCGTCCCGTCTGTAAACGAACGTGACAATTTCCTTGCTTGACTGCTAGGTTTTATGGGTATTATGACTCATACTATGGTACTCTATATCCCTAGTTGGCCCTCACTGTAGTTGCCATATTGGCACACATTTTTAAGGACACACCTCAAATATTTCCCCCCCCCCCCCTCCCACCTCAGCAGAAGCGAGCTGATGTTAGACAGGTAAATTATTGAACCTGGCGTAAGGGCTGGAAAATGCCAGTGCGCCAGTTTTTACATGACAAAATTGCTAACTAACATGTGTTTGATATTTGCGCCTCCTTACCGCCAGCCAAAAATAGAGCCCTCAATGAGATTCGGTAATAGCTGTTTTTCAGCTAATTCCCCCCCATTAGCCGTGTCTCACCTTGTTTCCTGGCCTAATGGCGGTTGGGATGTTTTATTCTTATTAAAGCAGAGCATTGTCCTGCTGAGAGGAGAGCTGAACAGATGTGGGAGCTCATCATGGTCTGTCTCTCTGTATGACAACACATTACCACTGGACCTCTGAGACAATTAAGGGCTAGGTAGAAACAGGCAGGCACGAAGTCAACTCTATACTTATACCATTTTGCCTATGGTGATGAGGTTTAACCAATGAGTGTAGCCTTCTAGCCGGCCACAGTGTTGTTGATTCACTTAGTCGGTTAATGCAGGAAACTATTGGTTCTACTCAAGTGGTTTTTCACCCAGAGCTGCAGTGGATATTAGCTCTGATTATTACAGCCGTGACTTCATATGTGATTAGCATGACTGTTTTAAGTAACAGCAAACTTTCCAGGACATAAACATGTCTTATATTGGCAGAAAGCTTAAATTCTTATTAATCTAACTGTAGTGTCCAATTTACAGTAGCTATTACAGTGAGGAAATACCAGGCTATTGTTTGAGGAGAGTGCACAACAACAACAAAAAATTATCACGGCAACTGGTTAAATAATGGTAAATAATGTACTTACATTCAGTAATCTTGCTCTGATTTGTCATCCTAAGGGTCCCAGAGATAAAATGTAGCATAGTTTTGTTTGAACCCCTGCTGTCTCTGGCTCCACACCCACCCCGCCCGGCCATCTAGATGTGTGAAAATTGTATGACATTCCTGGGAGTGTGTAAACTTACATTTTGTATTACCATATCATTTTTGTATGTTCTCTATAGTTATGTACTTGAAAATGTATCAATTGACCAATTCGGCAGACTTGATACAAAATAGTCCAGTATTGCAATACTTCCCTGGATCAATCTGAAACTTTGCACACACACTGATGCCATCTAGTGGCCAAAATCTAAATTGCGCCTAAACTGCAAAATTATATTGTGGCCTTTCTCTTGCATTTCAAAGATGATGGAACAAAGAAATAAATAGAAAATACATGTTTTTTGGTTTGTATTATCTTTTACCAGATCTAATCTCCTACATTAATTTCCCATTTCCACAAACTTCAAAGTGTTTCCTTTCAAATGGTATCAAGAATATGCATATCCTTGCTTCAGGTCCTGAGCTACAGGCAGTTAGATTTGGGTATGTCATTTTAGGAGAAAATTGGTCCGATCCTTAAGAGGTTAAAGGGTGTGTGTGTCTGTCTCAGTCACCAGATCTCAACCCAATTGAACACTTATGGGAGATTCTGGAGCGGCGCCTGAGACAGTGTTTTCCATCACCATCAACAAAACACTAAATTATGGAATTCCTCATGGAAGAAGGTTGTTGCATCCCCTCAATAGAGTTCCAGACACTTGTAGATTCTATGCCAAAGACCATTGAAGCTGTTCTGGCAGCTCAACTCCCTATAAAGACACTTTATGTTGGTGTTTCCTTTATTTTGGCAGTTACCTGTATATACAGTGTCTAGCACTAGAAGGAGCTGGCAGCGTCGAAGGGAGAGGCACTGGTGGTCGAAACAACATAGTTTCTGCTGTAGTATATTCTTACTGCACAGTACATCTCTTGTCTCCTGCAGCATACTGTATAGACTTTTGTACACATTTACATTTTAGTCATTTAGCAGACGCTCTTATCCAGAGCTACTTACAGTTAGCGAGTGCATACATTTTCATACTAGATTTCCCTGTGGGAATCGAACCCACAACCCTGGCATCGCAAACACCATGCTCTACCAACTGAGCTACACGGGACTACACATCCTTTCTGTACTACTTATACTTATAAGGACTATAGTTCTCATTCACAAGGCATTAGTTTGTCAGCTGCTTAGAAATTGTATATTTTAAGTTACCCAGTTTATTGAAATACACTAACACATTTGATTACTGTGTTTTCCTAGAGTACATTTGATTCTAAAATCTAGTCTGCTTCAGTTAGTCCCCTGTAGCTCAGTTGGTAGAGCATGGTGCTTGCAACGCCAGGGTTGTGGGTTCGTTTCCCACGGGGGGCCAGTATGAAAAATGTATGCACTCACTAACTGTAAGTCGCTCTGGATAAGAGCAGCTGCGAAATGACTGTAAATGTAGTTAAGGGGCGAACCCTAACTTTTTTACTGAAGTAACATTTTTGACAATTGGAAATGTTGCTTTTCATTACACCCCCCCCAGGTGCCCTACGTGAGGGTGGCCCCTGAGGACCTCCTGAGGGCCCGCTTCCCGCGCTTCTCGCCCCTCGACCTGCGGCCCACCAGTGCACATGTCAGCCTAGCCGTGGTGGACCTGCTCTCCGTCTTCAACAGCACCAGTGCCTGTCTGCTCTGCGCCAGGGCTGACTGTGAGTTGCCAACCATAGAAATATAAATAACTAGATTGGACATTCCCATTCATGTAAACTATAGAAATATAATTACTCAATGAACTCAACTATGTTGTGATGGATGGACCCATAGAAATATAATTACTATAATGGAAATTCCACTGGGCTTTATATAATAATACATAGAGTCAACCCCTGATCAGTAGTACAGTTTAATTTTAGGACATGCATGCAGTCATTGCATATACAGTAACAGGAGGCGATGTAGTGATATGGTAATTTAGCAGATGCATCTATCCAAGAGCCCCTACAGTTGTTAACACATACTGTACTGTATCAGTAATGTGGTCCATGGCGGGAATCAAATCCATAGCATTGGTGTTGACTGTTCTCTGACCAACTGAGCCGTTGGAACCACCAGTCTTCCTCTAGCAGGTCATTCGTCTCTGTCAGTCTGCCCCTCAAGCAGTCATCTGCCCAAAGCTGACTATTCTTTGTTTAATTCAAATCACACACTCAGCATTCATCTGTACATAGCAGGTCATTATTGATCCAATTTTCTGTCTTGACGTGCTCATTGGGACCTGTGTGTGTGAGTGCCACCATGCGTCTGTGTGACAGGCGTATGGAGCCAGGCCACCTCAGGGATATCACCCAGAGACGGGCAGGTGTGGAAAGCGTGAAATGATGAGTTGAGCTTTGCTTTGGTTCCCAATGCTTACATAGAACGTGGCCAAGTAGATAAGAAGATGAATCCCTCCAACCTAGGTCCTAAAAATCTACTTAGGCTAACAGCTGGTATTTTCTCTATAACAAGATGTTATCTTAACTTAAAATAGAATGCCTATTTCCTAGTGAAATGTGCTTTCAGTGTTAGTTGGGCACTGGAAAGATGATGTTGTTACAATTGCTTACTTATGACATAATGCATCAATTTTGTTATATTTTGAAGATGATACATTACATACTGCTGGTCTTTTTGGACTGACTTGAGATACACAGAAATCAAGCATTTAGAGTATATGTAAGGAAATACGGCCACCAAGGGAGTGATAGTATAAACCTACAATGGCTGTATGGATAAAACACTTCCTATGATTTACTTAAAGGCCTACCTGAGTTGTAAAATGTGGTACTTCTATCACCAAAGGCAGAATTCCTTGCAATATTCTCCTACTGGCCATTACTTAAAAAGACTATTAGACTTTAATGGAAGATATTCAGATGATATTGTAGCAACCTGACGTTCATAAGCAAGTTTATCAACGTTGTGGTCTGTGGGATACAATATTACTTTCATGGCCAATTGTTGCTGTTGTCCCAGGTTTGATGAACCTGGAGCAGTTATTGCGTCAGTTCCTTATCTCCAAGGAGACGCTGACTGTGCGTGTGCTGGATGACAGTCAGGACCCCATGCCTGTTCTAAAAGAGATCCGCAACGACCAGACTGACACCATCATAGTGGACGCCAACGCCACGGTGTCCCACCTCATCCTGGAACGGGTAAGCGTCCCAAATGGCCCCCTATTCCCTATATAGTGCACTACTTTTGTCAGAAAAATGCACTATAAAGGGAATAGATTGCCACATTTTGGGACCCATCCATACACTCCAGACCATTGCCCAATCCCAAATCTATCGCTATAGGTCTATGCCTTATGCACTTGTGGAGATCTTATTTGATAGGAGTAAAGTGTAATTCATAGTCCACAGACGCTAGTCCGGTGTCCCATTGTGACATAGCTATGCGGCTCTGAGCAGTATTGCCAACTTAGCGACTTTGTCGCTATATTTAGCGAGTTTTCAGACCCCTCTAGCGACACATTTTCAAAAAAGCGACTAGCGACAAATCTAGCGACTTTTTCTGGTGTTATTGGAGACTTTTGGAGACTCTGACGTGAAAGCACGTATCGTTCTTACTCTTCTAAACGAGCAGCGGGTGCTGCCGTGGGCCCCACCCCCGTCCCAAAGCACTCACCGTCCCCAGTCCTCGCGCAGCAGTCCCTCCCAGCTGCAGTCAGAGCAGGAGATGTTCACCCCTCCGTGTCCAGCCTGCAAATGAATTGCGCATGTGGGAAGCCGGCGCTGGCTGATCCCGCCCTGGCTTACAATCAGGGCGGGATGTAAATGTAGTGTGTTTTTTACTCACTTTTTGTCTCTCCCACAACGTTATTCCTCTCTCCTACAGCATCAATCACAATTACATGCACATGGCAAATTATGCAAATTAGGTGATGACGTCATTTAGTGACCTCTAGCGACTTTTAGGAATCCAATAGCTACTTTCCTTACTGAGGAGTTGGCAACACTGGCTCTCAGACCACCATCCGCGGGGACCCACAGCCCGAACGCGCACCTTCCCACAATTCCCAACCAATGCGTCTCCAGTACGCGTTTTCTATTCTTTTGAATATGTTGACAGTTGGTTGAAATTGCTTGAGCTGCGCTGAGATTTCGAAAAGTATGAAAGCCAACAGTCCAATATTCTAGAACACTGCTATGCCTTGCCCTCTGATAGGTTCGGTGGAATTTTCACCATGTTACTTACATCTATCAAATCCTCTCAAATCTCCACAGCTACATAGAGCGTTGGGTCTAGGAGGCAATTTGGGATTGGGAATACAGTATGACTAATAGTGGCTACATTCACTACACTAACGAGCTGGGTTCAAACAAACACATTCAGAGTATCATCCAATTCGGATTACCTCAAGGGATGTTCATCTAATGGTGTTGCTTGGTTGACCATTCCATAGACAAATTGTATAAATGTTCTTAATTTTCCCATTCAATATCTGTTTATATGACTCACTATGCTTGTTTGTATCCAATAATACCTACAAGGTAACGATTTACATGAAAATGTTTGTTGATTGTGCCTTATTGATTGTTTACCGGTGCATGCTTGTTAATAACATTACTAAAAGCATTACTAAATGAACACATGAATAGTAAGCACTAGTATTAGACGGCTTCTGTTATGCATCTAATTTAATAGAAGTTTCAAAGATCTGTGGAAAAGCTTTGGGTCATGTTCTTATGAATTTATAATAACCACATCGGCATGACTTATTTATTTGACTGCCTTTATGATTGGTTTGCAAAGTAAAAAGTTGTGTCAAGTAAAAATGTCATTCTGGTGATTGTCACATTGTTTTTGGAATTGTCTCTTCCTTTAAAGTAATCCCAAGGGACAGGAGGAAATATGAAACCATGATATATGTTTTCCTAGGCAAATTTCCCAACCCTCATAAAGAGAATACTAATGTCTGCTAACAACATGGAATACAGAGTTTAGGTAGATGTGTTTCCGACTGTGGCCTGGAGTGGTCTATTGGTTACTGCCGCGCCTTCAGCGCTCATATGTATATCAGTGCTGGCGTGGGTTCGAATTTGGCCCACTCCCCTCTAGTGCATCATCTCTCCTCCTTTCTTTCCTGTAATAATATATCAAATATAATATGCCATTTAGCAGACGCTTTTTATCCAAAGCGACTTACAGTCATGCGTGCATACATATTTTGTGTATGGGTGGTCCCAGGGATCGAACCCACTACCTTGGCGTTACAAGCGCCGTGCTCTACCAGCTGAGCTACAGAGGACCACCTGTCTCTCTTCAATGTCTCTCTGTCCAATAAACTTGAAAAATCCCCCAAAAGAAAATATATATCTTTCCAAGGGCAATAATTGAAGTGGTTTCTCTAAAACCACATGTTAGTGTGAAAATTCTTGATTATGTTACAGAAAAGAAGCTGCTCGGGCTTGAGGCCTCATTATTTGTGAGCTAACCAATGATGTGGATTCAGGAAGCAGCAAATTGAAGTCAGGTGGATTATGTAGAGGAAATACACATTCAAATTGACACATTTCAGAAACCTTGACAGCTTTGAGGGTAATGTAAAAAGCATAGAGGCATGTGGCCTTGTAAATGGAACAGAACATAATACATTTCACAATCTCCATCCACATTGTATGGAGACAACGTATTGGCTGCAGATTCAGACTTTGAAGTGCTAGAAAAACATAATGCAGAATAAAGTTTATCCCCCAAAAAATCTTTCCTTTTTCCCCCTTGAAAAACCTTTTCATTTTTTCTTTTTAAAAAACTAAGCAATTTCATTTATAAGATGGGCAAATAAAGTACTACTATAAAAGTCTGAAATATTCTAAAGCACAACTATGGTTTCTTACTCTTTGGCTGTGTCTGAAATGGCACCCTATTCCTTATATAGTGCACTACTTTCGACCAGGACCCATGATGACCAGATCCCTAAAGTTTGCCTTTAAGTTGTCGTTTCCCTCAGTGTTGACGGCAGGAGATGAAGCAGAGCAAACTTGACAACCTTTTGCTCAAAATGTGATTTTTGGCCAAGTCTGTCAGAAGCCGTTGCCAATTGACTTGTGTTTCTGCCAGTGCACCAGCTTGATTCGTACTAGTGCTCCACAAAAACTGGGCTAAAAGTCATATGGCTGCCAAATGATGCACTTTCATTCTGATCATGTATTATCTGTTGTTGAGGTTAAATGTTAGTGTTTTACGATTTTAGTTTAGCAAGTTTAGCCATTTTTCATTATCAATTTGACAGCACAGTCTCTCACGGGAAATAGATTCTGGACACAGACAAAAATAGAACTCTCCTCCCTTTTCTTTGATCTTTGTTCAGTATGAAAAATAAATAAATATGTATGCACTCACTAACTGCAAGTCGCTCTGGATAAGAGTGTCTGCTAAATGACTAAAATGTCAAATGTAAAGGATGTTTCTCAGGCATACCACAAAAACTTCAGTCATACACTGACCCCAAGACAAATGATTTCCACTGTGTAGACTACTGCTGCTGAAAGAATATACCATTTTTGGGGGAGTAAAAGCAGACTGATTCTATAGCCCCCTTCCTCCCTCCCTCCCTCCCTCCTTCCATCCATCTCTCTCCTTCCCACTCCCTCCATCTCTGTTCCTCCCTCTCTCAGGCGTCAGAGTTGGGGATGCTGTCTGTCTACTACACCTACATCTTCACCACAATGGTAAGAGGCCAGATGTAAACGTTTTTTTACCACAGAATTAAGTCAGTAAAACTGAGTTCTGTGCTACTCTGTAAATATGTTGTATGCAATGTGTCTCATGATTCTAAGTACAGCTTGTTTCAACACAAAACTGGGCTTGATTAGACTGGTACTTTATCTGTGCATGCATTTCAATAGTCTTGACTAGTTACCTATGCATGTCTCATTTCCTACATCTGCATTTATGTGAAAGCACTGAACAGGTGAAAGCAAAGCTCAGAGGGCGACTGCGTGTGGTATGCTTCTCCACAAGTTTTGCGTTTTCTTAAAATACATCACTCACTGCTTCGAGTCCCACCTAAAGATCTGTGTTCACACGGTCGCCACAACCACCAAACAGGGGAAAATATACCTCAAAGAATGTTGAAGAATGGTGCGTACCGTTTTGGGGATGTTTAACCAACTGAACACACCCCTGCTGTCTCCTCTGGCATACAGGAGTTCTCTCTGCTGCAGTTGGACGACATCCTTGTGGAGCGCTGGGTCAACATCCTTGGCTTCTCTGTCCTCAACCACAACCATCCTTACTTCCCCGACCTCCTCCTCAGCCTCAACCGCTCCTGGCAGGAAAACTGTGACCACGCCCCTTTCACTGGGGTCCCGGTGAGCAAAGCTTCATTTTGATTGTATTTTTATTCAACCATTATTTAACCAGGCAAGTCAATTGAGCACAAGTTCTATTTTATAATGACGGCCTGTCAAGTGGCGGGGGCAAGTACGGGCTGAATAAATAAAAGTAAAGGCACAATACGAGACATAGAAAGACATCACAACACAAGGTCAGAAAGACATTGCAACAACATAAGACATTAACAACAACACGTAAACAATCACCAATAATTGTGCTTAACATTTACTTGTTAGAATAACATGTAGGCCTGTCATAGCAAGTCCATTATTGTTTTTGTGTGGAATAACAAGTACATGGTTCACAAATGGTGTCCGTAATTGAGTCCTTGAAAGCAGAGATGGATACAAATTCACAGGTAGGGTTAGGAGTTATTCCTGACCACGTGACCTTCCAGGAAATACTATTACTAGGGCCCAGAGTTTTCCCTGAGCAGGTCACATGCCCCCTTACCATATATTATTAAGGGATCGATCCAAGAGGATGCAACATTTAGAAAGCTGCAGATAGAAATGTATTTTATAGAGCTGACATGATGATTCCCTAGCCTTGTTGACTTGACAGAAAATCTACTAAGCCACAGTTGCCTCACAACAACAGATGAAAAGCTGTGCGTTATTACCCTTATGACTGTGCACAACAACACTCTTCCCACGCTAGACGGATGTGCAATTAATACCCTGGGGTTTTGAGTTTTGCCTCAACACATTCTGATTAGTTAAGTGATTTCAAATGCTTTTTTAGTTAATGGACCTTTCATTGCATGGAAGATGCTGTGTTGTGCTTTCTGCCGTCAACATTAAGGAGACAAATAATCCACATTGAACATTGAACCCCCCCTACAGTTTGGGCTTTGTTAATCAATGTTGTTATATTACAACAGAGCTAGCTCTCTTCCTACTGTAACATTTTTACACTGTCGAAGAATACAGACTCTATATTGTAGAATATGAATGTATTTATTTGCCTACTCTCTCTCCCCATTCTCTCTCTAACACTACACTGACTCTGAGTGCTTCCTTTGTATTCACTACCAGTAAGCGAGCTACCTTCCCTTATTCAGATGGGTATTGTTTTATCTTTCTGGAATCCATCCTGCCATTGTGCAGAGCATTTAAAGAGGATTATTTTCTCAGAGTTTCTCTCTAAGTCTGAAAGAGCTTCATTGTAGGAGTGGGAGGAAACTATCACTGGATGGAATATGTAAATATATAGCTTAGTATCGAGACTCTGATTTCCTAATCCAGCATTTGAGTGTGTGTCTTGCTCTCTGTCTCTCTCTCAACCCTGTACCTTGTCTCTCCTTCCTCCTCTCTCTCTCTCTCTCTCCTTTCACCCTCTACCCATCTCCTCTCTCCCCCCCTTCTCTATATATCTCTTTCAACCTTCTACCTATCTTTGTTTTCTGTCTCCCTCTCCTTCAACCATCTACCATCTCCTCTCTCTTTCTCCCCCCCCCCCCCCACTCTGTCCCCCAGCTCTCCCCAGCCCTGCTGTATGATGCCGTGCATGTGGCGGTGTCCGCTGTGAGGGAGCTCAACCGCAGTCAGAGCGTGGGCGCCACACAGCTCACCTGTCAATCATCCAAAATCTGGGAGCATGGCACCAGCCTGATGAACTACCTAAGGATGGTGAGCACTGACAACTCGCATGCACGTGTGCAAACACACACACCAGGGTTGGGCTCAATAAGAATTGAAGGCAGTAAATTCAGGAGGTAAACTGAAATTCCAATGATTCAATTATTGAAAAAAGGGCGTCAATTTTCGATGACTTCTCAATAAACTGAAAAGGAGAAGCTATCTATGTCAAACGTTTTTAAATTTGGGGATTTTAAATTCAAATCACTTCCTGAATTGACTGACTTCAATTCGAATTGAGTCTAACCCTGACACACACAACAACACGCGTGCAGACACACATAATATGCTCTGTCTCTCACACAAACACACACAGTCACACACACATACAGACACACACACACACTCAGTATGCACTCTATCAGCCCTGTTATCCAAGCCAGTAATTTGCCTGTCACCTAGTGACTCACCCTGCTCCTGGAGAAAAGGTATCCAAGCCAAGATTGAGCGTCGGCAACATGTTGACTTCGTCAGGTTCTTAGTCATCAACTGTAAAGAAATATTGCTAACAAAGACTTGGAATGCTCTCTCCAGAATAGCTCAGTACACACTGTCAACCATATGCACTCAAAGCAATGATTTCCCAACCAAAACATGATTCTCTGAAGTGCCTTTCTGTCCAGAGTGGCTACGGATACAGAATTTATGTATCTCAATTTGCCCACGCAAGAAATACAGATATTTCTGCGTATGTGCAAGATTTGTTTTTACGTAGCTGAGTGCCCACTCCGCTGCCTAAGTAGCTGCTGTGGTGAGTGCTCCACCTCCGCTCCCCCCTCCTTGATTGCCTTTGTCTCGTCACTGGTGTAGGCTACAAACTTCATGTTGCACACAAAACTGTTCTAACTATACCGTTCCATGCCTCAGTAAGCAAAAGCACAATTTAATGTTATTTTTTCAGGAGGGGAGTAGGCTACATACAGCTATTTTCAGTTTTTACACAAAATACATTATTGACGCGTTCGTACAAACTTTGTCAGTATTACAAACATAAGCATAACACATAGGCAGTCTAGCGATTTCATGTTCTTCTTAGCTGCTGAGTTACATGCAGCTATTTACTCTCGCCACGATTTCAGCATATATGGCATTTAACTATGGCACCTGGCGATGCAAAACGAACTTGCCCATCGCTGTCTAATTAGCGATTGAATGTTATTTTTTCATAATCATTGCAAACATTGGCTAAGCATGGGTGAGTAGAGAGCGAAACGTGAAGGGAGGGGGAGTGTGAGCAGCAGCTACGTTAGAAAGACAAATGTGTGTGTAAAATAACACATGTGCAGAACAGGATCCTTAGCTTTAAAAAGCCACTGCCTTTAAAAAGCAACAAATCCCTTTGAAAACAGCCTATGTGGCATCGATATGAGTCAGAAACAGTTATTCTAGTGTCAAAATTGACTACAAAGTGTAAATAGGATAATTTTGGTCATAAAGTCAGTCTCGTCTTAAACAGAGTTTGGAACATCCATTCGTCACATCGGGTAAATTAAGGTTGGGTTTTGATTTGATGATGTCCATTTGCCCACTAACATGGGGTGAACAGCTCCGGTGATTGCTCTCAACCCAATAGCATAGAGACAGACCTGCCCAGCAGTGCTGGCTGTTTACATAAGACAACACATCATGCATTTTTTTAACTTGAGAAATACTGCACCAATTACTGTATAGGAAATTATCCCTGCGGGAATTGAACCCAAAACCTTGGCATTGCTAGCAACACGCTTGTACCAACTGAGCCAGACAGACTATATACTGTACTGTGTGTGTTTTATTGTAATACCATTTGGAGCTCTCATTGAGATGCACAGCCCAGCACGCCCTCTCCTCTCTCTCTGTCTCTGACAGGTAGAATTGGAAGGTCTAACTGGGCACATAGAGTTCAACAGCAAAGGCCACCGCTTCAACTACGCCCTGAGGGTCGTGCAGAGCAGCTCAGAGGGGCTAAGGCAGGTAAAGCTACACTGCACACACAATAACCATTTACTTTGTAACAGGCTGGGATTTACTGTGTATAACTGTATATAAAGAGCTACAGTCTGATGCCGAGGTTTAGTATAAGTCCCAAATGGCACCCTATATCCTATGTAGTGCCCTACTTTTGACCATGGACCTGGACCATGGATAGTTTTTTAAAATGGATATTACTGTAGTATTTACAGTACAATAGTGTTTTTTCAGAATTACTGTATGTCACGTTTGTTGAGTACAGGATTGGACCAAGGTGCAGCGTGGTATGCGTACATGTTCGTTTATTAAATAAACACAGAACAAAACAACAAAAGCAACGTAACGTGAAGTTCTAAAGGCTAACATCAAACAAGCCAAACACACAGAAACAAGATCCCACAACATAGGTAGGCAACATGGCTGCCTAAGTATGATCCCCAATCAGAGACAACGATCGACAGCTGCCTCTGATTGGGAACCACACCCGGCCAACATAGATCTACAATATCTAGATCTTACACATAGAAATTCACACCCTGACCAAACCAACTAAAGAAAACCGGGCTCTCAAGGCCAGGACGTGACACTGTAGTATACTATAGCATATACTATCGTGTTTTTTAAGACATTACCGTAGTATTTGCTATAGGGTTTTTGTTTTATTATCTTTGACATAGAATTGGGGGCTTTCCCCTTAAGGAAACCTACTGGACAAATACTAAAAGAGCACATTTTCCATAACCTGTAGGGAACACAATAATATGGTCTATACTTAGCATGTGGGTTTCTCACTCATGGTTGGCACAATTTGGTTTAGGACCTATTTAACCGGTCGAGAGTTTTTTGTCACCCTTAGTGAACATAACTCAGAGAAAATACATATCACATATGGTGTTCCACAAGGTTCAATTTTGGGTCCAGTACTGTTCAGTTTATAAACATCCCTTTTTCAGGACCCTGTCTTTCAAAGATAATTCATAAAAATCCAAATAACTTCACAGATCTTCATTGTAAAGGGTTTAAACACTGTTTCCCATGCTTGTTCAATGAACCATAAACAATTAATGAACATGCACCTGTGGAACGGTCGTTAAGACACTAACAGCTTACAGACAGTAGGCAATTAAGGTCACAGTTATGAAAACTTAGGACACTAAAGAGGCCTTTCTACTGACTCTGAAAAACACCAAAAGAAACATGCCTAGGGTCCCTGCTCATCTGCGTGAATGTGCCTTAGGCATGCTGCAAGGAGGCATGAGGACTGCAGATGTGCCCAGGGCAATAAATTGCAATGTCCGTACTGTGAGACGCCTAAGACAGCGCTACAGGGAGACAGGACGGACAGCTGATCGTCCTTACAGTGGCAGGCCACGTGTAACAACACCTGCACAGGATCGGTACATCCGAACATCACACCTGCGGGACAGGTATAGGATGATATAGGAACAACAACAAGAACTGCCCGAGTTACACCAGGAACGCACAATCCCCCCATCAGTGCTCAGACTGTCTGCAATAGGCTGAGAGCGGCTGGACTGAGGGCTTGTAGGCCTATTGTAAGGCAGGTCCTCACCAGACATCACCGGCAACAACGTCGCCTATGGGCACAAACCCACCGTCGTTGGACCATACACGACTGCTCTTCACTGACGAGTCGCAGTTTTGTCTCACCAGGGGTGATGGTCAGATTTGCGTTTATCGTCGAAGGAATGAGCGTTACACCGATGCCTGTACTCTGGAGCGGGATTGATTTGGAGGTGGAGGTCCGTCATGGTCTGGGGCGGTGTGTCACAGCATCATCGGACTGAGCTTGTTGTCATTGCAGGCAATCTCAACGCTGTGCGTTACAGGGAAGACATCCTCCTCCATCATGTGGTACCTTCCTGCAGGCTCATCCTGACATGACCCTCCAGCATGACAATGCCACCAGCCATACTGCTCGTTCTGTGCGTGATTTCCTGCAAGACAGGAATGTCAGTGTTCTGCCATGGCCAGCTAAGAGCCCGAATCTCAATCCCATTGAGCATGTCTGGGACCTGTTGGATCGGAGGGTGAGGGCTAGGGCCACCCCCCCCAGAAATGTCCGGGAACTTGCAGGTGCCTTGGTGGAAGAGTGGGGTAACATCTCACAGCAAGAACTGGCAAATCTGGTGCAGTCCATGAGGAGGAGATGCACTGCAGTACTTAATGCAGCTGGTGGTCACAACAGATACTGACTGTTACTTTTTGACCCCCCCCCCCTTTGTTCAGGGACACATTATTCAATTTATGTTAGTCACATGTCTGTGGAACTTGTTCAGTTTATGTCTCAGTTGTTGAATCTTGTTATGTTCATAAAAATATTTACACATGTTAAGTTTGCTGAAAATAAATGCAGTTGACAGTGAGAGGATGTTTCTTTTTTTGCTGAGTATATATGTTACCCCTTGGCAGCGTTATCAGAAAGCACAGCATTGATTTTCACTGATACGCAGACATTACACAGCTTTACATTTCTGTGTCACCAGAGGATTTTAGCTCCACAGATAAATTATTAGACTGTTTAGTGATTTAAATACTTGCATGGCTCACAATTTCCTCCAGCTAAATCAAGACAAGACCGATGTACTTATTGTTGTAGCCAAAGCACAGAGAGAGAATCTAGCCGCACATTTTAATTCAGGGGCAATAAAGATAAAACAACAGGTAAAAAACCTAGGTGTTATTTTAGATTCTGAACTAAATTTTGAACCACACATTAGCAATGTGACCAAAATAGATTTTTGCCACCTGAGGAACATTGCCAAGGTGCGGCCATTTCTCTCTTAGGCTGATACAGAGAGACTCATCCATGGTTTTATTACAAGCAGGCTTGACTACTATAATGCTCTCCTGTCTGGTCTACCCAAGAAAGGCATTGGTCAACTGCAAACATACAGAATGCTGCAGCACGGGTACTGACCAAGACCAGACGGAGAGCACACATTACATTGGTTTTAAGGTCTCTGCACTGGCTGCCTGTGAGTTTTAGAATTCATTTGAAGATTCTTCTATTGGTTTTTTCATCAATCCACAATTGTTTACATTTACATTTACGTCATTTAGCAGACGCTCTTATCCAGAGCGACTTACAAATTGGTGCATTCACTCTATAGCCAGTGGGATAACCACTTTACAATTTTTCTTTTTTTTTTTTTTTTTTTTTTTTTTTGGGGGGGGGGGGGGGGGTAGAAGGATTACTTTATCCTATCCCAGGTATTCCTTAAAGAGGTGGGGTTTCAAATGTCTCCGGAAGGTGGTGAGTGACTCCGCTGTCCTGGCGTCGTGAGGGAGCTTGTTCCACCATTGGGGTGCCAGAGCAGCGAACAGTTTTGACTGGGCTGAGCGGGAACTATGCTTCCGCAGAGGAAGGGGAGCCAGCAGGCCAGAGGTGGATGAACGCAATGCCCTCGTTTGGGTGTAGGGACTGATCAGAGCCTGAAGGTACGGAGGTGCCGTTCCCCTCACAGCTCCATAGGCAAGCACCATGGTCTTGTAACGGATGCGAGCTTCAACTGGAAGCCAGTGGAGTGTGCGGAGGAGGGGGGTGACGTGAGAGAACTTGGGAAGGTTGAACACCAGACGGGCTGCGGCATTCTGGATGAGTTGTAGGGGTTTAATGGCACAGGCAGGGAGCCCAGCCAACAGCGAGTTGCAGTAATCCAGACGGGAGATGACCAGTGCCTGGATTAGGACCTGTGCCGCTTCCTGTGTAAGGCAGGGTCGTACTCTCCGAATGTTGTAGAGCATGAACCTGCAGGATCGGGTCACCGCCTTGATGTTAGCGGAGAACGACAGGGTGTTGTCCAGGGTCACGCCAAGGCTCTTCGCACTCTGGGAGGAGGACACAACGGAGTTGTCAACCGTGATGGCGAGATCATGGAACGGGCAGTCCTTCCCCGGGAGGAAGAGCAGCTCCGTCTTGCCAGGGTTCAGCTTGAGGTGGTGATCCGTCATCCATACTGATATGTCTGCCAGACATGCAGAGATGCGATTCGCCACCTGGTTATCAGAAGGGGGAAAGGAGAAGATTAGTTGTGTATCGTCAGCGTAGCAATGATAGGAGAGGCCATGTGAGGATATGACAGAGCCAAGTGACTTGGTGTATAGGGAGAAAAGGAGAGGGCCTAGAACTGAGCCCTGGGGGACACCAGTGGTGAGAGCACGTGGTGCGGAGACAGCTTCTCGCCACGCCACTTGGTAGGAGCGACCGGTCAGGTAGGACGCAATCCAGGAGTGAGCCGCGCCGAGATGCCCAGCTCGGAGAGGGTGGAGAGGAGGATCTGATGGTTCACAGTATCAAAGGCAGCAGACAGGTCTAGAAGGACAAGAGCAGAGGAGAGAGAGTTAGCTTTAGCAGTGCGGAGAGCCTCCGTGACACAGAGAAGAGCAGTCTCAGTTGAATGACCAGTCCTGAAACCTGACTGGTTTGGATCAAGAAGGTCATTCTGAGAGAGATAGCAAGAGAGTTGGCTAAAGACGGCACGCTCAATAGTTTTGGAAAGAAAAGAAAGAAGGGATACTGGTCTGTAGTTGTTGACATCAGTGGGATCGAGTGTTGGTTTTTTGAGAAGGGGTGCAACTCTCGCTCTCTTGAAGACGGAAGGGACATAGCCAGCGGTCAAGGATGAGTTGATCAGCGAGGTGAGGTAGGGGAGAAGGTCACCGGAGATGGTCTGGAGAAGAGAGGAGGGGATGGGGTCAAGCGGGCAGGTTGTTGGGCGGCCTGCAGTCACAAGTCGTAAGATTTTATCTGGAGAGAGAGGGGAGAAAGAAGTCAAAGCATAGGGTAGGGCAGTGTGAGCAGGACCAGCAGTGTCATTAGACTTAACAAACGAGGATCGGATGTCGTCAACCTTCTTTTCAAAGTGGTTGACGAAGTCATCCACAGAGAGGGAGGGGGGGGGGGGGGGGGGGATTCAGCAGTGAGGAGAATGTGGCAAAGAGCTTCCTAGGGTTAGAGGCAGATGCTTGGAATTTAGAGTGGTAGAAAGTGGCCTTAGCAGCAGAAACAGATGAAGAAAATGTAGAGAGGAGGGAGTGAAAAGATGCCAGGTCGGCAGGGAGTTTAGTTTTCTTCCATTTCCGCTCAGCTGCCCGGAGCTCTGTTCTGTGAGCTCGCAATGAGTCATCAAGCCACGGAGCTGGAGGGGAAGACCGAGCCGGCCGGGAGGATAGGGGACACAGGGAGTCAAAGGATGCAGAAAGGGAGGAGAGGAGGGTTGAGGAGGCAGAATCAGGAGATTGGAGGGAGAAGGATTGAGCAGAGGGAAGAGATGATAGGATGGAAGAGGAGAGAGTAGTGGGAGAGAGAGAGCGAAGGTTGCGGCGGCGCGTTACCATCTGTGTAGGGGCAGAGTGAGTAGTGTTGGAGGAGAGCGAGAGAGAAAAGGATACAAAGTAGTGGTCGGAGACATGGAGGGGAGTTGCAGTGAGATTAGTAGAAGAGCAACATCTAGTAAAGATGAAGTCAAGCGTATTGCCTGCCTTGTGAGTAGGGGGGGACGGTGAGAGGGTGAGGTCAAAAGAGGAGAGGAGTGGAAAGAAGGAGGCAGAGAGAAATGAGTCAAATGTAGACGTAGGGAGGTTGAAATCCCCCAAAACTGTGAGGGGTGAGCCATCCTCAGGAAAGGAACTTATCAAGGCGTCAAGCTCATTGATGAACTCTCCAAGGGAACCTGGAGGGCGATAGATGACAAGGATATTAAGCTTAAATGGGCTAGTGACTGTGACAGCGTGGAATTCAAATGAGGAGATAGACAGATGGGTTAGGGGAAAAATTGAGAATGACCACTTGGGAGAGATGAGGATTCCTGTGCCACCACCCCTCTGACCAGATGCTCTCGGGGTATGCGAGAACACATTGTCAGACGAGGAGAGAGCAGTAGGAGTAGCAGTGTTTTCAGTGGTAATCCATGTTTCCGTCAGCGCCAGGAAGTCGAGGGACTGGAGGGTAGCATAGGCTGGAATGAAGTCAGCCTTGTTGGCAGCAGAACGCCAGTTCCAGAGGCTGCCTGAGACCTGGAACTCCAGGTGTGTGGTGCGTGCAGGGACCACCAGGTTAGAGAGGCAGCAGCCACGCGGTGTGAGGCGTTTGTGTAGCCTGTGCGGAGAGGAGAGAACAGGGATAGGCAGAGGCATAGTTGACAGGCTGTAGCAGATGGCTACAATAATGCAGAGGAGATCGGAACGAAATGAACTAAACATCTGGGAAAGGAGAGAGCAGGGCCTCCCTCACCAAAAAAATATAACTCTCCCAACTTCCACCTCAGAAACTATAATTGTTTCACTGAACCACCCAAATAAAACTCTCCCAACTTCCACTTTAGAAATTAGAATTGTTGTAAACTACAGCGGTTCAATGTTTCAAGGAATAGACTCAACTTACTTTATTCAGCTAGCTAACTATGACGCCATAGCTAACTAGCATGCTAGCATCCAATAACACACAGTTTAGCACCAATACTTGGTTACAACAAACTACCAATAGTGTGTTAACACACTAAACAGATAATTTGTGTCCGTGTCTAGTTCTTTCATAACGCAGCAATAATTAAACGTTGGCTAGCTAGCACAAATATATTGTATTTAGCTACTACAGTACAGCTAGCTGGTAGTGTTGGCTAGCTAGCAATGGCTGCTGTGTTGACTTTTTTGAAAAACGGCGTCGCTGCGAACGAATGTAGCTGGCTAAAAGGATATTGTATTTAGTTGCTACCGTTGCTAATAGCTACCCGCCAGCTAGTCCAGGAGGTGAGTTAGCTAGCTAGCTTCGTGCTACACCCGGTACCGCCGAATACAAAAGTAACCTACAATAACTACATACAACAACTACCCACAACAACCCACGATGCCTAGCTACAATACCCAACTACAATCTAAATACATAGTTTAAGCCTTACTCGACAAAGCCCAAGCTATGCATAAAGCCAAACTTACCCGACGCCAGCTGTCTGGGTGGTTTTCTGCAATCAGTAGCTGTAATTAAGTACACTAGCTACTAACTACCTAACGTTAATGCTTCAGATAATGAGGTTAGAAAAACAGCTGAATGGTAGGTAGCTAGCTGGCTTAATTACAGGTACTCTTAAGCGTGAAATAACATTGGAAACAACTATCCACCGTTGCTAAAAGTTACCAGTAGCTACCCGCTAGCTAGCTAGCTCTATCGGTTAATGCTTCAGATAATGAGGTTAGAAAAACAGCTGAATGGTAGGTAGCTAGCTGGCTTAATTACAGGTACTCTTAAGCGTGAAATAACATTGGAAACAACTATCCACCGTTGCTAAAAGTTACCAGTAGCTACCCGCTAGGTTAGCTAGCCGAGAGAGCGGAGGAGGACAGCGACAGTGCCACTCTGGTGGCACGAAGGGACAATCCACCACACGTCGTAGTCAACGTTCTTTTGGGCCTGGAGGCAGCAGGCAGGGCACTCACGCATCACCCTAGCTATCGAACACCCACACTCGTTCAGAGCCCTCTGCTGCGCACTGTAAAATACTTGTCTCCTTTCCTGAGCACATGGATGTTCCCCAGTGTAAGGCGCTAGTCGATTCAGGCACAGCTGGGAACTTTATGGACAGGGCATTCGCACACCGTATAGGCATTCCATTGATTCCCCTATCCATTCCACGCCCCATCAGAACACTTGATAGTCGACCATTAGGGTCCGGGTTGGTTAAGGAAGTTACTGCACCAGTCACCATGATTACCCAGGAGAATCATTGTGAACAGGTGATTTTTTCCATTATTGAGTCTCCTGCTTTCCCTGTGGTATTAGGTATCCCTTGGCTAGCACTCCACAACCCCACCTTTTCATGGCCGCACAGGGTTCTCACGGGGTGGTCGCGAGAGTGTCAGGGTAGGTGTCTAGGTGTTTCCGTTGGTGCAACCACGGTGGAAAGTCCAGACAGTACCTCCACTGTGCGCATTCCCCCTGAATACCTAGATCTGGCGCAAGCGTTCTCTAAAACGCAGGCTACTAAATTACCACCTCATCGGGCGGGGGATTGCGCGATAAACCTCCGGGTAGACGCTGTACCTCCCAGGAGACATATATACCCCCTGTCACAGGTTGAAACGGTGGCTATGGAAACATATGTCACGAGTCCCTGCGCCAGGGGTATATACGTCCCTCCACTTCACCCGCCTCCTCGAGTTTCTTCTTTGTGAAGAAGAAGGACGGAGGTCTGCGCCCGTGCATTGATTATCGACCACTGAACAGGGAGACAATAAGATTTAGCTATCCTCTCCCCCTCATTCCTTCAGTGATTGAATCAATGCATGGGGCGCGCTTCTTCACCAAATTAGATCTCAGGAGTGTGTACAACCTGGTGCGTATCCGAGAGGGAGATGAGTGGAAGACAGCATTCAGCACAACCACGGGGCATTATGAATACCTGGTGATGCCCAATGGTTTGATGAATGCTCCCTCAGTTTTCCAGTCCTTTGTGAATTAGGTGTTTCGGGACATGCTTGGTCGCGGTGTAGTGGTCTACATCGATGACATCCTGGTGTATTCCGCTACGCGCGCTGAGCATGTGTCCCTGGTTCACAAGGTGCTGGCCCGACTGTTGGAAAATAACCTTTATGCTAAGGCAGAGAAGTGTATGTTTTTCCAGCAGTCCGTCTCCTTCCACCTCAGGTGTGGAGATGGAGGGAGATCGCATTTCAGCCATGCGTAATTGGCCGACTCAAACCATGGTTAAGGAGGTGCCTTGGCTTTGCCAACTATTACCGGAGGTTTATCTGGGGCTTTGGCAAGGTCGCAGCTCCCATTACCTCCCTGTTGAAGGGTGGGCTGTCCCGGCTCCGCTGGTCTGCTGAGGCTGACCTGGCCTTCAGCAAACTGCGGGGTCTGTTCACCTCAGCCCCAGTACTGGCCCACCCCGATTCATCACTACCGTTCGTAGTGGAGGTGGATGCGTCCGAGGTTGGGATAGGAGCTGTCCTGTCTCATCGCTCGGGTACGCCACCCAAGCTCCGCCCCTGTGCGTTCTTTTCGAAGAAGCTCAGCCCGGCGGAGCAGAACTACAGCGTTGGTGATCGGGAGCTGTTGGCTGTTGTTCGAGCCTTGACCGTGTGGCGGCATTGGCTCGAGGGGACAAAACACCCTTTCCTCGTCTGGACGGACCACCGTAACCTGGAGTACATCCGGGCAGCGAGGAGGCTGAATCCTCGGCAGGCCAGGTGGGCCCTATTCTTCACCCGGTTTGATTTCACTCTATCATACATCCCGGGTACGAAGAATGTGAAGGCAGACGCGCTGTCCCGGCTGTATGACACAGAGGAGAGGCCCAGAGACAACACTCCCATACTGCCGGCCTCCTGCATTGTAGCGCCGGTAGTATGGGCGATGGACGCGGATATAGAGCAGGCATTACGCACAGATCCCTCTCCACCTCAGTGTCCAGATGGGCTGCAGTACGTGCCTGCTCTTATCCATGATCGTCTGATCTACTGGGCACACATGTCACCCTCCTCTGGTCACCCAGGTATCGGCCGTACAGTGCGCTGCCTGAGCGGAAAGTACTGGTGGCCTACCTTGGCTAAGGACGTGAGGGTGTACGTCTCCTCCTGCTCGGTGTGCGCCCAGAGTAAGGCACCTAGGCACCTCCCAGCGGGTAAGCTACAACCGTTACCAGTTCCACAACGACCATGGTCTCACCTTAGCATTGATTTTCTAACTGATCTTCCCCTCTCCCAAGGTAACACCACCATCCTGGTCATTGTGGACCGCTTCTCCAAGTCCTGCCGCCTCCTTCCTCTGCCTGGTCTCCCCACGGCCCTGCAAACTGCGGAGGCCCTGTTTACTCATGTCTTCCGGCACTACGGGGTACCAGTGGATATAGTGTCTGACCGAGGTCCCCAGTTCACGTCCAAGGTCTGGAAGGCGTTCATGGAACGTCTGGGGGTCTCGGTCAGCCTGACCTCTGGGTTCCACCCCGTTAGTAATGGGCAGGTGGAACGGGTAAATCAGGACGAGGGTAGGTTCCTGCGGTCCTACTGCCAGGACTGGCCAGGGGAGTGGTCGGTGTTCTTGCCATGGGCAGAATATGCCCAGAACTCTCTCCGCCACTCCTCCACTAACCTAATGCCTTTCCAGTGTGTTCTAAGTTACCAACCGGTTCTGGCACCGTGGCACCAGAGCCAGACCGAGGCTCCTGCGGTGGATGACGGGTTTCGGCAAGCGGAGGAGATGTGGGATGCTGCCCACGTTCACCTCCAACGCGCCGTGCGTTGTCAGAAGGCCAACGCTGACCGCCACCGCAGTGAGGCCCCCGTCTTTGTACCGGTGGATCGGGTCTGGCTCTCGACCCGGAATCTGCCCCTCCGCCTGCCCTGCCGGAAGCTGAGCCCATGGTTTGTGGAGCTGTTCAAAGTCCTGAGGAGAGTCAACGAGGTCAGATATAGGTTATTACTGCCCCCTGATAGGGCAGGCATCGTTTCATGTGTCTCTCCTCAGGCCGGTGGTAGCTGGTCCGCTCCAGGAGTCTGAGGTGCGGGAGGTTCCTCCACCTCCTCTGGATATCGAGGGGGCCCCGGCGTACTTGGTCCGTTCCATCCTGGATTCGAGCCGTCGGGTGGGGGGCCTTCAGTACCTCGTGGAGTGGGAGGGGTACGGTCCGGAGGAACGGTGCTGGGTCCCGGTGAGGGATATCCTCGATCCCTCCATTTTTACGGGATTTCCACCGTCGACATCCGGCTCGCCCTGCTCCGCGTCCTCCTGGCCGTCCCCGAGGCCGGGGTCGGCGCACTGCTGGAGCCGCACGTCAAGGGGGAGGGGTACTGTCACGACTTCTGCCAAGGTTGCCTCCCCTCCTTGTTCGGGCAGGTTTCTGCGTTCGTCGTCACCGGCTTACTAGCTGCTGCCGATCCACTTGTCTTGTCTAATTAATCACACACACCTGGTCCTTATCCCCAATTAGTCATTGTATAAGTGTTCCCTCTGCTTCCTTGTCTGTGTGGGTGATAGTTTGTCGTGAGCTGTGTGTAGCTCGGTTGAGCTACGCTTACCTTGTTGTTGCCAGGGTAGTATTTTGCCCTGTGCCTGAGTTTTGTTGTCGCATGCTTGCGCAACCGTTTATCGACGGAATAAACTCTTTGGATACGTATTACTCTCTTGCGCCTGACTGCTTCTATCACACGCATCACAGGTATTTGCCGAAACACATTGGTTTTAACAATAACATATAGATTTTTCAAACAAACCTCAATTTGTACTACTGAGAGTTGCTGAATATGTTTTCATCTTCAGTTTCATGAACCTTGGTTTGAAAGCACAGCACCACCCTGTTTCTCTCTTAATCGCTCTCTCTCTCCCTCAACCCTCTACCCATCTCCTCTTTTCTTTCTGTCTCTCTCTTTCCCTCCCTCCCTCCCTCCCAGGTTGGTGAGTGGCATTCGGAGCATGGTCTGTCCATGGAGAGCGACATCAACCTCCACATCGTGGCCGGCACCATCTTCAACACCACCCTCACCATCACCACCATCTTGGTGAGCGCAGCTTCTCTTTTCGCCACACCATTTCACCGTGTGCAGGGGTGTATACATTAGTGCACACCGTAGAAAAAACAACCATTTCTTATTGGACAAGTTAATGTAGTCCCTCCTCGTTTCGGCCTGTTTGCTTCCGTTTTGCTCCTATTGAATACGACCCTGTTTTTGGCTCTACTACTTCTAGTACTCTTCTACTTGTTTTTAATCCATCTGCCAACTCAATTAAGCACAAGCATACCAAGTGTTCCAGACGCTTTCACTGTTGACCTCGGTAGATGAGAGACTGGCGTTTCTCATTTGAGGTACAACCTAATTGGTGCCCTTGAAAAAATTGAAATTCTGCAAGGCTCATTCTTCATGGACTCTGTCTCTTCTTCATTTGCGTTGGCTTGACCTGGTCCGCTGGGTATGAAATACCGGCGCATGACTAGAATTTTCTCATCATTTTCTTACATGGAGACAGAGAAATTATCAAAGAACCTCTACCCTTCAATCAACTGTAGATTCAGCCAGAATACTGTAGTTGGTAGCTACTGTTTTAATTGGTAGACAGTGTGTGTGGCGCATTGATTTTTGGTCACATACATAGGCTTACGGTACGGTACGTGGCCTTCAGCTTGCAGATTGATTGACTGGCACAATGGAACCAATAGAATAGTTGCAAAACTGCTGACCCCGCCCATCTGGCATCCCAGGCAGGCTAAAGCAAGCTGCGTCGTCATCTCAAGTCTCAAATGAACACAGGTGGGAAATGTCGAGTCATTATCTTAATGAAGTGAGATAAATATATTGTGAATTGTGTGTGGCTCATTAAGGGATAACTGAGAGAAAAACACATTGGCTCAGAGCTTTTAATAAAGCAGCCTAGTCAGAAACAGATGGAAGCACAGAGAAGAACTGAGGGAGGCCCAAGGGAGGGCATGAGTCATGGCGAGAGACAGACGAATCACCCTAGCACGGCTAGCCTAACACACACATACACACACAAACACTCCCACTCTCTCTCTCTCACAGACACACACGCACACACACACATACACATACACACTCTCCCACTCTCTTTCTCTCACAGACACGCATACGCGCACACACACACACTCCCACTCTCTCTCTCTCACAGACACAGGCACGCACACACACACACCAGGTTGTACCAGTTTGAAGCCTCTTGCAAGAGAGCTATTATTTGATGCTACGTCTGAACCATGCAAATTCACTCCAACACAATACACACATTCAGATTCAGAGTGTTAACATTCACATGTACAGGGTTGCAGGTGTGATTGGAGGGTACAGTGAAAATATTAGACTTGGAGCTCCAACATGCAGGACTAGTGAAATAAAATAATGAAAATGGTAATAAGGGGAGTAGCAGGGGGAGGGGGGAACAGGTAGCTGACTAGTGGTGGCTATTCAGCAGCCTGATGGTCTGAGGGTAGAAACTATTGGCCAGTCTTTCAGTTTTTGCCATGATGCTCCTGTACTGCCCGCGTCTGAATGATTGAAGCGGGGATAACAGGGCATAGCTTGGGTGCTGGGGTCCCTGATGATCTTCTTGGCCTTCCTGCGACACCTGGTGTTGTAGCTGTCCTGTAGGGCTGGCATTGTGCACCCAATGATGCGTTCGGTTGCACGTATCACCCTCTGAAGAGCCTTGCGGTCCGCGGTGGTGGAATTGCTGAACCACACTGTGATGCAGCTCGATAGTATGCTCTCGAATGTGCTCCTGTAGAACACTGTGAGGGCTCTTGGGGACAGGCCGAATTTCTTCAGGATCCTGAGTTTTAAGAGTCGCTGTCAGGCCTTCTTCACTACGGTGTCCGTGTGGTTAGACCATTTCAGCTTCTCTGAGATGTGTACACTGAGGAATTTGAAGTTATTGACCATCTCCACGTTGATGAGGATGGGGGCGTGTCCAGCCTGGTTCCTCCGGAAGTCCACAATCAGCTCCTTTGTTTTGCTAACGTTGAGGGAGAGGTTGTTTACCTGGCACCACACCGTCAGAGTGCCTGCCTCCTCCCTGTAGACTGTCTTGTCATTGTTGGAGATCAGGCCTACTACTGTTGTGTCGTCAGTGAACTTGATGATGGGGTTGGAACTGTGTGAGGCCACGCAGTCATGGGTATACAGGGAATACAGGATGGGACTGAGGACGCACCCTTGTGGGGCCCCAGTGTTGAGGATCAGTGTCGAGGAAGTAATTTTGCCTACCTTCACCACCTGGGGGTGGCCCCTCAGGAATTCCAGGACCCGTCAGGATGTACAGGACACAGTTGCATAGGGAGGAGTTCAGACCCAGGGCTGTGAGCTTTGTAATGAGCTTATAGGGCACTATGGTATTGAAGGCCGAGCTGTAGTCGATGAACAGCATCCTCACATATGCATTCCTTTTGTCCAGGTGGGTAAGGGCAGTGTGCAGTGCAATGGCGATTGCATCATCCGTGGATCTGTCAGGGCGGTAGGCGAATTGGAGAGGGTTGAGTGTGTTGGGGAGGGAGGAGGTGATGTGGTCTTTGACTAGCCTCTCGAAGCACTTCATGATGATGGAAGCACTTCGTGATGACGCACGTGCATGCAAATTAACGCTAACACATGCACACGTCTCAGCTTGTACCAGTTTGATGCCCCTTCATGCAGGAGAACCCCTATGTGATGCTGAGGCCCAACCACCAGGCCCTGGAGGGCAACGAGCGCTACGAAGGATTTTGTGTGGACATGCTGCAAGAGCTGGCCGAGCTGCTGCACTTCAGCTACCGTCTGCGGCTGGTGGCAGATGGCGTGTACGGCGTGCCCGGCGCCAACGGCACCTGGACGGGCATGGTGGGCGAGCTCATCTCCAGGGTGAGCACTGAGTGAGTGAGTGCTGCTGAGTGTGAGTGTGGCCAAAAATCATCTCCCTCTCTATTGCCCTATGTTTGTATAGTTAGGGTATGGTGATGTCTTGGTGTCACAGGTACTGCAGTCACAAGTTATACCACCTGTAGGTAGGAGGAGATAAATGGTGTAAATACCCTGTTGTAGCGCTATTGTTTCATACCCAGCCATCACCTGTGTCTCAAGATGTCTCAAGACATGGTGATGGCTAGGTATGTTATTGCTGATTACACAAGATATGTTTACTTCTCATCCTCCTGAAATAGTCATTGGAATGGGATTGTCCTTCAAAGGTAACATTCCAGATAACAGATAATGAACATAAACGCATGTATTAGGATCCAAACTAGATAGATTAGGATCCAAACACGATATCTTGCTTTTTAATTTAATCTGAATGAAGAATCAAGATATCGTCAATTAGCTGTTGCAGTACAGTGCCTTTGACTTATTCCATATGTTTTTCAGAAAGATTGTAACTTCCATCAATGTATTTGTCTGCATCACTTCCAATCCCCCATATGTTTTTTTTTTATCGCAAATATACAGTGAGGGAGAAAAGTATTTGATCCCCTGCTGATTTTGTACGTTTGCCCACTGACAAAGACATGATCAGTCTATAATTTTAATGGTAGTTTTATTTGAACAGTGAGAGACAGAATAACAACAAATAAATCCAGAAAAATATATGTCAAAAATGTTATAAATTGATTTGCATTTTAATGAGGGAAATAAGTATTTGACCCCTCTGCAAAACATGACTTAGTACTTGGTGGCAAAACCCTTGTTGGCAATCACAGAGGTCAGACGTTTCTTGTAGTTGGCCACCAGGTTTGCACACATCTCAGGAGGGATTTTGTCCCACTCCTCTTTGCAGATCTTCTCCAAGTCATTAAGGTTTCGAGGTTGACGTTTGGCAACTCGAATCTTCAGCTCCCTCCACAGATTTTCTATGGGATTAAGGTCTGGAGATTGGCTAGGCCACTCCAGGACCTTAATGTGCTTCTTCTTGAGCCACTCTTTTGTTGCCTTGGCCGTGTGTTTTGGGTCATTGTCATGCTGGAATACCCATCCACGACCCATTTTCAATGCCCTGGCTGAGGGAAGGAGGTTCTCACCCAAGATTTGACGGTACATGGCCCCGTCCATCGTTCCTTTAATGCCGTGAAGTTGTCCCGTCCCCTTAGCAGAAAAACACCCCCAAAGCATAATGTTTCCACCTCCATGTTTGACGGTGAGGATGGTGTTCTTGGGGTCATAGGCAGCATTCCTCCTCCTCCAAACACGGCGAGTTGAGTTGATTCCAAAAGCTCCATTTTGGTCTCATCTGACCACAACACTTTCACCCAGTTCTCCTCTAAATCATTCAGATGTTCATTGGCAAACTTCAGATGGCCCTGTATATGTGCTTTCTTGAGCAGGGGGACCTTGCGGGCGCTGCAGGATTTCAGTCCTTCACGGCGTAGTGTGTTACCAATTGTTTTCTTGGTGACTATGGTCCCAGCTGCCTTGAGATCCCGTGTAGTTCTGGGATGATTCCACACCGTTCTCATGTCAGTGGGCAAACGTACAAAATCAGCAGGGGATCAAATACTTTTTTCCCTCACTGTGTGAGTGGCGCAGTGGTCTAAGGCACTGCATCGCAGTGCTAGCTGTGCCACTAGATATCCTGGTTCGAATCCAGGCTCTGTCGTAGCCGGCCGCGACCGGGAGACCCATGGGGCGGCGCACAATTGGCCCAGCGTCGTCCAGGGTAGGGGAGGGAATGGCCGGCAGGGATGTAGCTCAGTTGGTAGAGGATGGCGTTTGCAACGCCAGGGTTGTGGGTTTGATTCCCACGGGGGGCCAGTATGAAAAAAAAATACTAAAAATAATGTATGCACTCACTAACTGTAAGTCGCTCTGGATAAGAGCGTCTGCTAAATGACTAGAATGTAAATGTAAATATATATATTACACATTTCCTTTTTTAAAATATGTTTCCCTTTATTACTTTCCAACCCCACCACCCCTTCCCTAATTGGAGTAAACTAGTGAACAACAATGCTTAGGCCTCTACTTCCAGCTTATACGTACTATATACATTTTATGGACACAGTCAATTTTTCAATAATTCTATTTTGTTTGTTTTTACTCCTGAACTTCCTCTACCCTCAACCTCTCCGATCATTTTCATGATGTCCATCCGGTTTGCTTCTATATGCCATATCTTTCTAACTGTGCTCTTTCACAAAAGCTCTCAACCTATAACCTATATACTTATTATGGACACAGTATGCTTACATTATTAGTTATCTTGTTGTTAAAGTCCCATCCTTCAACTCCATTCAACACCACCATCTATGTCTTAACACCATCCATATTGGATTTCTATATGCCATATATTTTTCAACTATACTGTAATGTTTTACAAAAGTTCTGAACCTTTCTATTCTCATTCTTTCTACAGATTGTAAATTGAAAATAAACATTTTTGCTAAAAGTATTATTATATTATTGATCGATTGACTATGACTTTTCAGATCACCCAGTAATGCTATCTGCAGGGTTAGCTCCAGGTAAACATTGCAATCCTTTAGCCATTCCTGGACCTGTGTCCAAAAACAAGCTACAAATGGACAGTACCAAAACAAATGATCTAATGATTCTGTCTCTTCGCAGCAAAATCTGCAGAGCTGGGAAGATTGTATCCCCCATATAAATAACATTCTATTGGTAGCAAGAATTCTATATAATAATTTAAATTGAAAAATTCAAAGTTTTGAATCCGGCGTCGTTTTGCGTATCAGTTCATAAACATTATGCCATGGGATCGTTACGTCATATCTCAGACTGCCCATCTTAATCTTTTATTTTTATTGGCCAGTCTGAGATATGGCTTTTTCTTTGCAACTCTGCCTAGAAGGTCAGCATCCCGGAGTCACCTCTTCACTGTTGACGTTGAGACTGGTGTTTTGCGGGTACTATTTAATGAAGCTGCCAGTTGAGGACCTGTGAGGCATCTGTTTCTCAAACTAGACACCCTAATGTATTTGTCCTCTTGCTCAGTTGTGCACCGGGGCCTCCCACTCCTCTTTCTATTCTGGTTAGAGACAGTTTGCGCTGTTCTGTGAAGAGAGTAGTACACAGCGTTGTATGAGATCTTCAGTTTCTTGGCAATTTCTCGCATAGAATAGCCTTCATTTCTCAGAACAAGAATAGACTGACGAGTTTCAGAAGAAAGTTCTTTGTTTCTGGCCATTTTGAGCCTGTAATCGAACCCACAATTGCTGATGCTCCAGATACTCAACTAGTCTCAAGAAGGCCAGTTTTATTGCTTCTTTAATCAGCACAACAGTTTTCAGCTGTGCTAACATAATTGCAAAAGGGTTTTCTAAGGATCAATTAGCCTTTTAAAATGATAAACTTGGATTAGCAAACACAACGTGCCATTGGAGCACAGAACTGATGGTTGCTGATAATGGGCCTCTGTACGCCTATGTAGATATTCCATTAAAAATCAGCCGTTTCCAGCTACAATAGCCATTTACAACATTAACAATGTCTACACTGTATTTCTGATCAATTTGATGTTATTTTAATGGACAAAGAAATTGCTTTTCTTTTGAAAACAAGGACATTTCTAAGTTACCCCAAACTTTTGAATGGTAGTGTATATCTGGGGAAGGGTATAAAACAATTTCTAGAGTGTTAAAAGTTTCCAAGAGCTCAGTGGTCTCGATCATTGGGAAATTGAAAAAATATGGAACTACCCAGACTCTGTCTAGAGCTGGCTGTCCGACCAAACTGAGCAACCAGGCAAGAAGGACCTTGGTCAGGGAGGTGACCAAGAACCAAATGACCACTCTGGCAGAGCTACAGAGTTCCTTGGCTGAGATGGGAGAACCTGCAAGAAGGACAACAGTCTCTACAGCACTTCACCAATCTGGGCTTTATGAGAAAAAGGCACATGACAGCACGCCTGGAGTTTGCAAAAAGGCACGTGAAAGACTGAGATCATAAGGCAAAATATTATGTGGTCTGATGAGACAGAAATTTAACTCTTTGGCCTGAATGCAAAGCGTTATGTCTAGAGAGAACCAGGCACAGCTCATCACCCATCTAACACCATCCATACCGTGAAGCATGGTTGTGGCAGCATCATGCTATGGGGATGCCTTTCGGCAGCATGGACTGGGAGACTGGTAAGGATAGAGGGAACAATGAATGGAGCCAAATACAGGCAAATCTTCATTGAGAACCTGCTTCAGAGTGCAAATTATATGCATTCCAACAGGACAATGACCCCAAGCATACAGCCAAAGCAATGCTGGAATGGCTTCAGAACAAGGATCTGAAAGCCCAGACTTGAATTCCCATTGAAAATCTGTGGAAAGACTTGAAGATTGCTGTTCACCGCTGCTCCCCATCTAACTTAACAGAGCTTGAGAAAATCTGCAAGGAAGAATGGGAGAAAATCCCCAAAGCTGATACAGACATACCCAAGACGGCTCAAAGCTGTAATTGCCACCAAAGGTGCTTCTACAAAGTATTGACTCAGGGGTGTGAATACTTATGTAAATTCGATATTTCTGTATTTCATTTTCAATAAATTTGTTAAAATTTCTAAAAACATGTTTTCACTTTGTCATTATAGGGTATTGTGTGTAGGTGGGTGAATAAAACACAAATTTAATTCATTTTGAATTAAGGCTGTAATAAGTCAAGGGGTATGAATAATTTCTGAAGGCACTGTATATATTACAGTATATAGGTGATACCGTCCACCGCTCCTTCCAATTTTTGTTGAGAAATTCAATTTTGGAGGGAAATTTCAGAGTTGAGTGAAAATTCAGAGTTGAGGAGGTGACGGAGGATGAAGAAGAGAAGGACGGGGACGTCAGGAGGAGTTTGTTCTCTCTCTGTCCTCTGCCTCAATCGCTCCACTTTATGGCCCAGGTCTCTGTAATATCGCTGTAGCCTTTATGGACACGTCCTTTACTGAGCAGACCTGGGTTCAAATACTATTTGAAATAATTTCAAATGCTTTATCTGTGCTTGATTGAGTTTGCCTGGTGCAATGGAACCAATAGAATATCCCAAAACTGTAAACCCTGCCCATCTGTCACTAGGCAGGCTAGAGCAAACTCTCAAAGTATATGAAAGATTTCAAATGGTATTTGAACCCAGGTCTGATACTAAGATCTCTTATGGGGGTCACTGCTGTGCCCTTTCATTTGCTGCCCACTGCACTGTGATGTGTGTTCTGTCAACTGGGATCCATTCCAAAGGGAGGCCATAGGAATGTTTGCTGCCCCATGGAAAAACTCCACTAGGGTAACAGTATGGCTATGTCCAAAATGGCACCCTATTCCCTATATAGTGCACTACTTTTGACCAGGGACCTATGGGGCCCTGGTCAAAAGTACTGCACTATATAGGGAATAGGGTGCCATTTTGGACACAACCTATGTATATACTGTATGTGTTCTATTTGGCACTTGTATAATGCTGCCACGGGAATGTAATGGATGGTCATGGTGGTTATGATGATGAACCTGATAATTGCGTTGGCTTTATTTATTTGAATGGTTTTAAGGATGAGCCAAGGAAACTTCGTTTGTAGTCCCGTGTAGCTCAGTTGGTAGAGCATGGCGTTTGCAACGCCAGGGTTGTGGGTTCGATTCCCACGGGGGGCCAGTATGAAAAATGTATGCACTCACTAACTGTAAGTCGCTCTGGATAAGAGTGTCTGCTAAATGAGTAAAATGTAAAAATGTAAAACCTTCTCTCAAATTAGGTGCATCGATGAATGGGTTGTTTAAATAAGATTTTGACGTCAGTCCAGGTGTCAGTAGAATATTTTTGAAATGTTTTGAAATATAAACCATGGCTCAAGGTCCACTACACTGCTGGGTTGTGTTTATTAGAGCATGCAACAGAAAATAAAAATTAGCGTTTCTTATTGGACAATTAGAGGTAGTCCCTCCCTGTTTTAGTCCATTTTCTTCCATTTGATGCCGAATGAACATAACCCTGGTTTTCATCTGTCCCCTGTAATCAGGGACTAATTCAGAATTTGGTCACCAAATGAATGAATTCTCTGGCCAATTAATGACATAAATCAACGGCTCTACTTAGATTCTTGAGGCCTGGATTTTGAATAACCTTCTACACACATTTAGCAGACACTTTTATCCAAAGCGACTTACGGTGGTGCATGCTTAATTTTTCTGTGTGGGTCGCCCCAGCAGGAATCGAACCCACAATCCTGACGTTTCATGTGCCATGCTCTACTAACTGAGCCACACAAGACCAGTTTGCCATATTTACCTGTCGCTAACAGTAGGCTAACTGCAGTAGGCTAACTGTTATCTCTTCCAGAAAGCTGACCTGGCTGTAGCGGGGCTCACCATCACCTCAGAGAGAGAGAAGGTCATTGACTTCTCCAAACCCTTCATGACCCTGGGCATCAGCATCATGTACACAGCACACATGGTGAGACACACACACACACGCATGCACACACACACATACACACACACAACCATGCATAGAGAACCTGTTAAACAATGGTAACCAACTTTAGTCCAGGAGGAAATATAGGATGAAGTTGCCCCTAGACTCTGATCTTGGGTCAGTTTCGCATTTGGGGGATGCCAAGCTGATCCTAGATCTGATCCAGATCAGTGGTTCTCAAACTGTTCGCCAAACAATTTGCTATGAGACTCGAAATTGAGCTCAGGTGCATTCTGTTTCCATTGATCATCCTTGAGATGTTTCTACAACTTGATTAGAGTCCTAAATAACGTCCCACAGTTAAAAGTGCATGTCAGAGCAAAAACCAAGCCATGAGGACGAAGGAATTGTCCGTTGAGCTCCGAGACAGGATTGTGTCGAGGCACAGATCTGGGGAAGGGTACCAAAAAATGTCTGCAGCATTGAAGGTCCCCAAGAACACAGTGGCCTCCATCATTCTTAAATGGAAGAAGTTTGGAACCACCAAGACTCTTCCTAGAGCTGGCCACTCGGCCAAACTGAGCAATCGGGGGAGAAGGGCCTTGGTCTGGGAGGTGACCAAGAATCTGATGGTCACTCTGACAGCGCTCCAGAGTTCCTCTGTGGAGATGGGAGAACCTTCCAGTAGGACAACCATCTCTGCAGCACTTCACCAATCAGGCCTTTATGGTAGAGTGGCCAGACGAAAGCACTCCTCAGTAAAAGGCACATGACAGCCCGCTTGGAGTTTGCCAAAAGGCACCTAAAGGACTCTGACCATGAGAAACAAGATTCTCTGGTCTGATGAAACCAAGATTGAACTCTTTGGCCTGAATGCCAAGCGTCACGTCTGGAGGAAACCTGGCACCATCCCTACAGTGAAGCATGGAGGTGGCAGCAACATGCTGTGGGGATGTTTTTCAGTGGCAGGGAGACTAGTCAGGGTCGAGGGAAAGATGAACGGAGCAAAGTACAGAGAGAGAACCTCCTCCACAGTTTGTCTTGAACAGTGCTTGTGCCCAAAGAAATAGATGTGGCGAGGGATGTTCCCCAATGCTGGAAGGGGGACCCCGAGTGAAAAGTTATATATACTGTATAGGCAACTTCTACCCGGAGCATCCTGGAGAGCTACAGGTAGTGCAGCCTTTTCTTCTAGCCTAGTGCTAACACACCAGATTTGAATCATCAACTAATTCTCAAGACCTTGATCGGGTGAATCCAGTGTGTGAGTGCTGAGGTGGAACACAACCCTGCACACCCTGAAGCTCTCCAGGACCAGGGTTGGTGACAACTGGGCTCCCCAGGACCAGGGTTGGTGGCATCTGTTGTAAGAGATGCTAGATCATAACAGACAGATTCATGAATTGAATATATGACTATGCTGAAACCTCGTGAGTGTACCCCAATTCATTGTTTCTCATCAACCACATCAATGAGTGAATAGCACTTTCCTGGCAACTACTGAATCTCCATGGTATTGCTTTATAGCCTGGTGGATCCAGAATTAACACTACTTTCATTATTTGTTTCACTCCGCTTATCAGTCTGGCTTCAAACCAATAGATGGGCGAAGTGAAAACACAGTGAACGTTGGTAGTGTCTAAGCTAAATTCTTTATGCTCTTGCTTCTTTAGACCCGTCGACCAGGCTACTGGTCCTTCCTAAACCCCTTCTCTCCAGGCGTATGGCTTTTCATGCTGCTGGCCTACCTGATTGTCAGCTGTGTGCTCTTCCTAGTGGCCAGGTAAGTGTGCAGCTCAACACTGACACCTACAGATGAGGTCATACAGTGCATTCAAAGTATTCAGACCCCTTGACTTTTTCCACGTTACAGCCTTATTCTAAAATGTATAAAATAAAATCCTTATCAATCTACACACAATGCCCCATAATGACAAAGCGAAAAAAGGTTTTTAGAAATTTTTGCAAATGTATTACAAATTAAAAAACAGAAATACCATATTTACATAAGTAAATAAGTATTCAGACCCTTTGCTATGAGACTCGAAATTGAGCTCAAGTGCATTCTGTTTCGATTGATCATCCTTGAGATGTTTCTACAACTTCATTGGAGTCCACCTGCGGTAAATTCAATTGATTGGACATGATTTGGAAAGGCACACACCTGTCTATATAAGGACTCACAGTTGACAGTGCATGTCAGAGCAAAAACCAAGCCATGAGGTCGAAGGAATTGTCCGTAGAGCTCCGAGACAGGATTGTGTCGAGCCACAGATCTGGGTAAGGGTACCCAAACATTTCTGCAGCATTGAAGGTCCCCAAGAACACAGTGGCCTCCATCATTCTTAAATGGAAGAAGTTTGGAACCACCAAGACTCTTCCTAGAGCTGGCCGCCCGGCCAAACTGAGCAATCGTGGGAGAAGGGCCTTGGTCAGGGAGGTGACCAAGAACGAGATGGTTGCTCTGACAGAGCTCCAGAGTTCCTCTGTGGAGATGGGAGAACCTTCCAGAAGGACAACCATCTCTGCAGCACTCCACCAATCAGACCGTTATGGTAGTGGCCAGACAGAAGCACCTCCTCAGTAAAAGGCACATGACAGCCCGCTTGGAATTTGCCAAAACACACCTAAAGGACTCTCAGACCATGAGAAACAAGATTCTCTGGTCTGATGAAACCAAGATTGAACTCTTTGGCCTAAATGCCAAGCATCACGTCTGGAGGAGACCTGGCACCATCCCTACAGTGAAGCGTGGTGGTAGCATCATGCTGTGGGGATGTTTTTCAGCTGCAGGGACTGGGAGACTAGTCAGGATCGAGGGAAAGATGAGCAGAGCAAAGTACAGAGAGATCCTTGATGAAAGCCTGATCCAGAGCGCTCAGGACCTCAGACTAGGATGAAGGTGAATCTTTAAACAGGACAACAACCCTAAGCACACAGCCAAGACAACGCAGGAGTGGCTTCGGGACAAGTCTCTGAATGTCCTTGTGTGGCCCAGCCAGAACCCGGACTTGAACCAAATCGAACATCTTGAGAGGATCTGCAGAGAAGAATGGGAGAAACTCCCCAAATACAGGTGTGCCAAGCTTGTAGCATCATATCCAAGACGACTTGAGGCTGTAATCGCTGCAACAAAGTACTGAGTAAAGGGTCTGAATATTTATTATTTTTAATACATTTGAAAACATTTCTAAAAACCTGTTTTTGCTTTGTCATTATGAAGTATTTTGATGAGGGGAAAAAAATGATTTAATCAATGTTAGAATAAGGCTGTTACGTAACAAAATGTGGAAAAAGTCAAGGGGTCTGAATACTTTCCGAATGCACTGTATATACTGGCACCCTTGCATGATTCACTATTTCTTCTAAAATAGATTGAAATTGAAAAAACTTTGGGTGTTTACACGTGTATTTGTTTGTTTCACAACTACGCAGGACACACACAAAATTAATCTATATTGAAATTTAGATTTTTCACTTCAAAGTCAAATGGCCTGGACTAAATTATTCAACATTTTAATTAACTTGGTTAGAGGCAATGATTCTCGTTTACTCTGTAATTTATCTCAACTGTGGTAAATAACAGGTGCCTACAGGGTAAAAATAGCTATTCAACCAGTTTTTAAAAAAATAATTAAAAGAACATTCTGCACCATTCCACTCCATTGTAAAGTGCAAGGGTGCCAATATATTTGACCACATCTGTACTTGCAGTGCTGTGGAAGTGCAACAAGCGTTCTATTATGAAACTGCTGTCCACTTTCCACTCAATTTTTCCTCATCACATTTTGCGACCTGTCTGGTAGGCACAAAAGGGAGGAAATAATTTGAAAATGGCAAATTAAAATTAGCACACTTATTGGTCAAGTTCAGGTTGCAGTTTACCTCCCGTTTTTAAATATTTTCCTTCTATTGTGTGCCTATTCAACACGATCCTAGATGTAGGCTTTAATTTTCCGTATAATGACAACCCGTTTTATATTCCCCAGGCTAACGCCGTATGAGTGGTGTAGTACTGAGCCATGCTTGCGGGGGCGCTGTAAGCTGGTGCTGAACCAGTACACTCTGGGAAACAGTCTGTGGTTCCCTGTAGGGGGGTTCATGCAGCAAGGCTCAGCCATCACCCCCCATGCCCTGTCCACACGCTGCCTCAGCGCTGTCTGGTGAGTAGACCACAAGAAACCCCTACATAGGGATTGACCCATAGGCACGCAAATACACACACAGACGTTTAACATTTGCCAACGCAAAAATAACCATTTGCCATTCACATTAACTCACTAACATTGATACACACACACACACACAGGTATTGATGCACTCCATGCTTAACACACTGTATGAACCAATTTGACTGTCTCGCGCTAAGCAAGTAAATGGGTCTTGCACTTAACGGGGAGCCTTCCTGTGTACTAAGAACAGCTTGTGCTGTTCCTTCCTGCTGCAGGTGGTTCTTCACCCTGATCATAGTGTCCTCCTACACAGCCAACCTGGCTGCCTTCCTCACCGTTCAGAGGATGGAGGTGCCCATCGAGTCTGTGGATGACCTGGCAGACCAGACCATCATAGAGTATGGCACCATGCAGGGAGGCTCCACCATGACCTTCTTCCAGGTAGAGAGAGAGAGAGAGTGTGCGTGAGATTGAGAGATTGTGTGTGAGATGGAGGGAGAGAGCGTGTGAGATGGAGGGAGAGAGCGTGTGAGATGGAGGGAGAGAGCGTGTGAGATGGAGGGAGAGAGCGTGTGAGATGGAGGGAGAGAGCGTGTGAGATGGAGGGAGAGAGCGTGTGAGGGCAAGAGTGAGAGAGAAAGGAGTCATAATGCTTGCCATCTCACAGTTTCCCAGCAGACACAACTGCTTGAAATTACATCACAGTAACGTTGTTTCAACCAGTTTTCCCTCTGGGCACACTGATTTTTTTACAGACTTGTCTTTATCTCTCTTGCTTGCCCACAGAACTCACAGTACCAGACCTACCAGCGCATGTGGAACTTCATGCATGCCAAGCAAACCAGTGTGTTTGTGAAGAGCACGGAGGAAGGCATCGACCGGGTGCTCAACTCCAACTACGCCTACCTGTTGGAGAGCACCATGAACGAGTACTACCGCCAGCGCAACTGTAACCTCACACAGATAGGAGGACTGCTGGACACCAAGGGCTACGGCATCGGCATGCCACTGGGTAAGACCTGTTCAGAAGTGCACAATGTATCTTTTAATCGGACTCTCTTAAAATGGTTTCAATCTTTGAACCTTCTGGATCGTCCAGTGTTTGCTGCATAGAGAGAATAAAGTGTCGTATCTGCAAATACAAAGAACTGAGAGGCTGGGATTCCATACTTCTTCTGTAGTTGGTCAAACGAGAGCAGTGACCCCTTGTCATAAAGATATGAAAAATAAATGATTCCCTTTTCTGCCCAAGACTTCAATATGCTGTCTTTGAAGGGAGAGGTGGATTATTGCAAATGTGTTTACAGTGAGGGAAAAAGTATTTGATCCCTTGCTGATTTTGTACATTTGCCCACTGACAAAGAAATGATCAGTCTATAATTTTAATGGTAGGTTTATTTGAACAGTCAGAGACAGAATAACAACAAAAATATCCAGAAAAACGCATGTCAAAATGTTATAAATTGATTTGCATTTTAATGAGGGAAATAAGTATTTGACCCCCTCTCAATCAGAAAGATTTCTGGCTCCCAGGTGTCTTTTATACAGGTAACGAGCTGAGATCAGGAGCACACTCTTAAAGGGAGTGCTCCTAATCTCAGCTTGTTACCTGTATAAAAGACACCTGTCCACAGAAGCAATCAATCAGATTCCAAACTCTCTACCATGGCCAAGACCAAAGAGCTCTCCAAGGATGTCAGGGACAAGATTGTAGACCTACACAAGGCTGGAATGGGCTACAAGACCATCGCCAAGCAGCTTGGTGAGAAGGTGACAACAGTTGGTGCAATTATTCGCAAATGGAAGAAACACAAAAGAACTGTCAATCTCCCTCGGCCTGGGGCTCCATGCAAGATCTCACCTTGTGGAGTTCATGAGAACGGTGAGGAATCAGCCCAGAACTACACGGGAGGATCTTGTTAATGATCTCAAGGCACCTGGGACCATAGTCACCAAGAAAACAATTGGTAACACACTACGCCGTGAAGGACTGAAATCCTGCAGCACCCGCAAGGTCCCCCTGCTCAAGAAAGCACATACACAGGGCCGTCTGAAGTTTGCCAATGAACATCTGAATGATTCAGAGGAGAACTGGGTGAAAGTTTTGTGGTCAGATGAGACCAAAATCGAGCTCTTTGGTATCAACTCAACTCGTCGTGTTTGGAGGAGGAGGAATGCTGCCTATGACCCCAAGAACACCATCCCCACCGTCAAACATGGAGGTGGAAACATTATGGTTTGGGGGTGTTTTTCTGCTAAGGGGACAGGACAACTTCACCGCATCAAAGGGACGATGGACGAGGCCATGTACCGTCAAATCTTCCCTCAGCCAGGGCACTGAAAATGGGTCGTGGATGGGTATTCCAGCATGACAATGACCCAAAACACACAGCCAAGTCAACAAAGGAGTGGCTCAAGAAGAGGCACATTAAGGTCCTGGAGTGGTCTAGCCAGTCTCCAGACCTTAATCCCATAGAAAATCTGTGGAGGGAGGTGAAGGTTTGAGTTGCCAAACGTCAGCCTCGAAACCTTAATGACTTGGAGAAGATCTGCAAAGAGGAGTGGAACAAAATCCCTCCTGAGATGTGTGCAAACCTGGTGGCCAACTACAAGAAACGTCTGACCTCTGTGATTGCCAACAAGGGTTTTGCCACCAAGTACTAAGTCATGTTTTGAAGAGGGGTCAAATACTTATTTCCCTCATTAAAATGCTAATCAATTTATAACATTTTTGACATGCGTTTTTCTGGATTTTTTGTTGTTGTTATACTGTCTCTCACTGTTCAAATAAACCTACCATTAAAATTATAGACTGATCATGTCTTTGTCAGTGGGCAAACGTACAAAATCAGCAGGGGATCAAATACTTTTTTCTCTCACTGTATAAGGGGATAGAGGCTTATTCCATTTCATAAATCTGTGCAGTTTCTCATTTTCTTATTGAGTCTATTATAATACAATAATCAGACACCGGTTGTGTAGCTTTTTGAGACAGAAAACATCTGAAAGTTGGCTTTAGTGTTCTTATTGGAGAAGTTCAGATAGTACCTCCTTTGTTTCAAAATGTTTCTCCTGTTTTGTGCCCACTGAACACAACCCTGAGGATAGAATGTCTAGAATTAGGTGATCCGAAGTCACTTACATTTGATTGCAAGGTTTATTCGTAGTTTAGAGTAAACTGTATTGTATTGTAAACTGTACTGTATTGTAAACTGTATTGTAAACTGTACTGAACTGTAAACTGTATTCTATGTTATCAGGCTCAGTGTACCGGGACGAGATCGACCTGGCCGTACTCAAACTCCAAGAGGACAACAGGCTGGAGATCCTTAAGCGGAAGTGGTGGCAGGGAGACAAGTGTTCCAAAGAGGAGGACCATCGAGCACAGGGTACACTTTCATACACTACCTTAACTACTGTCCATAGACAGGAAAATATACAGTATCAGTGCAACTTGTCTCTAAACTGAAGTTATAGAACTGCTGGAATTGGAACCACAATCTGCTGACTCAAAGTCAAGTATATATTTTTGTTTATCACAAGTTATTTATCATAGCACACAACAGAAGACGACACTGTGGGGAAAATCTCCCAGCATTCAACAACTATATTATTTATACAGCAATGCAACATCAATGGTGATGCACAGAGTAAGGCTGGGATTCAATCTGATCGTGGGTTATAGGCATTGCAGCTTTTAAAGGCCATGTTCCTGCGTCTGTGGAGATCCCATTCACGGTAAACGCTGCGTATGTTGGCTCAATTGGAAATTGCCTTCAAAAGCCGCAATGCCTTTAACCCAGTGGTCATATGGTGATAAACTTCCCTAAGACCTCTATGTTTCTCTTTCTCTCTGGGGTAGGTCTGGGCATGGAGAATATAGGTGGGGTCTTTGTTGTCCTGTTGTCTGGTCTACTGCTGGCTGTGTTCATGGCGGGGCTGGAGTTCGCCTGGGTGCAGCAACATTCGCCGAGGTCAGAGGTAAGGGGTCATCTGTAGCTGCTCTCCCAACTTAGTAGCCAGCTGCCCTCTTAGGGTCAAATCATAACTTCCACTTAAGTCAAAATCTTCACTCAGGCTGGGATTCAACCCTAGGGGCGTTATAGAGCAGCGCACTATACAGCCAACAACGCGTCTTTTAAAGGCATTTTCCCTGGCGTTCGCAGAGATCGCATTCATGGTAAAAGCTGCGCATGTCGGCTCAAATGTAAATGACCTTTAAAAGATGGTGAAGGCTAGTCTTCCTGGGGTCCAACATAACGAAAAAGACATTACAGACAAAAATACTTTACAATTTGCATACATTTATGCATTTGTTCTTCAGTATGTAAGGTTTCATACCTGATTGACAATGCAACTTTACATCTGAAGTTAAATAAACAAATTAGAACCTAGACCTCACGAAGAATGTAAAGCGGAGGAAAAAAAGCTTTAACCCAAAGCACTGAAAACCAGCAATCCTTCTCCTGTTTCAAAAGATGACTGTGCCAAAGTTGGACTTATTGTTGTACCCTTTCCATTATTTCCTAGTTCTCCATGTGTACAGAGATGCTGAGGGCTCTCCATGGGATCCTGCTGTGCGAGGAGAGTATGGCACTGCATGTTTTAGGAGGCCCAGGGACATTACTACAGACACACACTCCACTCCCAGAGGAGCGTGGCGGGCCCAGGACAGCCACTTGCACCCTCAGTAATGGCATGGTGTGCAGGATGGACAACAGTAGCAGCGGTCCTATGGAGTCACTGTCTCATAGACTGGCACAGGAAGTCATTTTGGGTCCACGGGGCTGCACTCACGTCCGCATCTGCCCAGAGTGCAGGGGATATAAAGGACTGCGGGTGCAAACACTGCCGCCCAGAGAACACTCACCAGACCTCAGAGAGGAGAATGTTTAGTGCAGCGTTGCCCAACTGGCGGTCCTCGGATGATTTTATTTGGCCCTGAAGTTTCTGAGCAAAAATACATGTATTATTTATTGTTGGACATAAGACTGAAAACACCAGCAAATCAGCTCCAAGTGATTTTAATGTTGGAAACCTGTTCCAAAGTATTCCCACGCGTAATAGCGATATGTGATCATATACAAATGTAAAAGCACGGTTTGAAATGATGTTTGAGTCAAATATATTTGTTTGGGCTTCTTGCAGTTTACAAATGATTTGTAATTATGTTCTGGCCCCCTGACCATCCGCTCAACATAAAATCAGCCCATGGCTGAATCTAGTTGATGATCCCTGGTTTAGTGATCCCTGACCACTGAGGTGTATATGTTTGAACTAGAGACAGCGTCCATTGTTTTAAATATAATCTACTCACGTTCACATATGCCGTTTCGTGATTGTCTAGATCGGGTTTTATAGAGCCAATTACGCCTGCGCATTAGCACTGTGCGCACTGGAGCAGTGACGATGTCATCACGTCATCCAGAAACAGACAGTGGATGACTATAAAATGAGTCTTTGGCTGTGATTGATAAAATAAAATAAATACCTTCATAATTTAATGGATGTTTTGTGTACAACGGTGATGACTAAAGTGTCTTACTTGCAATTTTCAAATTTGACTTCTCCACGGCTCTTTTTGGACTTGACTTCAGCTAAACTGCAATACCGAATGTGTCCTCTGGGTTCAGTGGAAAGCGTGCTTCCAGACTGGAACCCTGGGGCCTTAGTACTGACCCTGAGCCACTTGTCGGTCTTTGCACTTTATTTCATTAGATGAGACATCAGGTCTGAAATTGACACACCTGCGTTTCGCCATCCTCAATCTTTGGGTTCAGGGGTTATTAACCGCTCTGAAATGAAGCCTCTGTCCTGGGGAGGAAAAAGCATGACTGGTGGCCTGGTCATACCAGTACGGCTGTACTTCAAAGACCCAGCTCCAACTAATGGCTAATGCCGCTCCCCACATTGCACTACATCTGTGAGAGACAAAGGAGTGTGGCTGTAGACCAGTTCATGCTTTTATTTGAAAACACGTGCCAAAAACATTGGCCGGGATTCAAATCTGAAAAACAGGCTATATATAGTGAGCTTGACATTTAAAAGGTAATTTACAATTGAGCCCAGTTCATTATATCCTGAAATAAAGACTTTTCATGGTTTCCAAACAAATGTCATGTTTGTTTTTTAACTACTCAATCCATTTGATTCTGTAACATTTCTCTGTGTACAATGCATACTATATTTACAATCCAAATCAATGGTGTTCATTCACTGTTGTTCAGGCGGTTTGGGTTTCTTTGTTCCCTCTGCACCCTGATCCCTCTTTCTCTTTCGTCTGTTGGTCTGTCCCTCTTCCTCTCTGAACTGGTGCCTAGTAGAGCAAACAGAAAGTTAACTTCACACAAGAAATACCCTAATTTGCTATCCACAAGCACTCCTTGGGTCTGAGATTATTTCACTTCCATCCATGCAAGTGCTATGCAAATTAAAACTCTGTATAGTCCGTTTTTGCAGCTGGCTGCCGCAGGACAAGTACATCACCTGGATTGCCAGCGGCGTCCGCTGTTCCACACGCGGCCGAAAGAGGGCAGCCAGTTGGCGTCGGTCTGGGAGCTGTGGTCAAAGTTGGCCCCCACCCGGTTAGGGGGGAGTTTCTTCAGCTTCTCCTGCTCCTCTGTGTGGAGAGAGATGGCAACGTGAGTGTCAGGGGTCGTATTCATTTGGCACCAAATGGAAGAAAACACACTGAAATAAAGAGGGACTACCTGGACTTGTCCAATAAGAAATGCTCATTGTTATTTTTCCATTGCAAAACATTCAGTCGAATCTCCAGGGGCGTATTCATTTTGCCGAGTCTGTTGCAAAATATTTAATAAACGGAAGCAAACGAAACGGGGAGGGAACTACCTGAATTTATTCTATAGACTTGTTTTAGTTGCAAATCATTCCGTTTTGCAACTGTTTGGACTAATAATTACACCCCTGGGCCCGGTTTCCCAAAAGCATCTTAAGGCCAAGTTCGTTAGAACCTTCACAGGAGCATCGTTATTCATTTTGCACTTTAAAATGCTCGTAATCTAATGCCTGCTAAGTGCGTCGTTAGATGCTTTATTTGCCCTCCCACGTCACTTTATACACAGATCTCCGCTAAACATAGAACGACATGGTTTACCGCTTTCTGTGACCACCGATAACTTCAGAACAAAGTTGACTATAAATACATTGCCAATATCTTTGCAATTTTGATACAAACAAGCGACATAAAAGGATACTTCAAATGAAAATCGAGATGACTGCATTAAAATAAATACAGTAGGCTATAGGCCTATTTCAATCATATTGAAATACATTTCATGTTCAATAAATTGAGTTATATTTTGCTACTTATAGGCTACTGTCTAATTTGTCTCAACATATTTCATGGTGTAGCCTAATATGTGTGCATCCATTGTCAGTATTGTGAAATCATTCTAACGTTAAAGGTAAGATTTGAATTGACAAAGCTGTTTCGAGAGCGGCACTGCCTTTCTTTCGATCCCATCAGTATCGACACATGCTCCAACGACGCACTTAGCGACTGTTCTCTCTGCATGGTGTTTTGGGAAAAACATGCTACATCTTCGGCCGTTGTAGGAAAGATGCATTGTTAAAACACTCGTAAGCCTAAGTTCCAATGCTATCGGGAATTCGGGCCCAGGTCTATGCATGCATGAGAGCACCAGCTGTTCCGGATGACTATGTGATCACGCTCTCTGTAGCCGATGTGAGTAAGACTTTTAAGCAGGTCAACATTCACAAGGCCGCAGGGCCAGACGGATTACCAGGACGTGTACTCCGAGCATGTGCTGACCAACTGGCAAGTGTCTTCACTGACATTTTCAACATGTCCCGGACTGAGTCTGTAATACCAACATGTTTCAAGCAGACCACCATAGTCCCCGTGCCCAAGGACTCTAAGATAACCTGCCTAAATGACTACCGACCCGTAGCACTGACGTCTGTAGCCATGAAGTGCTTTGAAAGGCTGGTCATGGCTCACATCAACAGCATTATCCCAGAACCCTAGACCCACTTCAATTTGCATACCGCCCCAACAGATCCACAGATGATGCAATCTCTATTGCACTCCACACTGCCCTTTCCCACCTGGACAAGAGGAACACCTACGTGAGAATGCTATTCATTGACTACAGCTCAGCATTCAACACCATAGTGCCCTCTAAGCTCATCACTAAGCTAAGGATCCTGGGACTAAACACCTTCCTCTGCAACTGGATCCTGGACTTCCTGACGGGCCGCCCCCAGGTGGTAAGGGTAGGTAACAACACATCTGCCACACTGATCCTCAACACGGGGGCCCCTCAGGGGTGCGTGCTCAGTCCCCTCCTGTACTCTCTGTTCACCCATGACTGCATGGCCAGGCACGACTCCAACACCATCATTAAGTTTGCTGACGACACAACAGTGGTAGGCCTGATCACCGACAACGATGAGACAGCCTATAGGGAGGAGGTCAGAGACCTGGCCGTGTGGTGCCAGGACAACAACCTCTCCCTCAATGTGACCAAGACAAAGGAGATGATTGTGGACTACAGGAAAAAAAAGAGGACTGAGCACGCCCCCATTCTCATCGACGGGGCTGTAGTGGAACAGGTTGAGAGCTTCAAGTTCCTTGGTGTCCACATCACCAACGAACTATCATGGTCCAAACACACCAAGACAGTCGTGAAGAGGGCACGACAAAGCCTATTCCCCCTCAGGAGACTGAAAAGATTTGGCATGGGTCCTCAGATCCTCAAAAAATTATACAGCTGCACCATCGAGAGCATCCTGACTGGTTGCATCACCGCATGGTATGGCAACTGCTTGGCCTCCGACCGCAAGGCACTACAGAGGGTAGTGCGTACGGCCCAGTACATCACTGGGGCCAAGCTTCCTGCCATCCAGGACCTCTATACCAGGCGGTGTCAGAGGAAGGCCCTCAAAATTGTCAAAGACTCCAGCCACCCTAGTCATAGACTGTTCTCTCTGCTACCGCACGGCAAGCGGTACCGGAGTGCCAAGTCTAGGTCCAAAAGACTTCTCAACAGCTTCTACCCCCAAGCCATAAGACTCCTGAACAGCTAATCATGGCTACCCGGACTATTTGCACTGCCCCCCCACCCCATCCTTTTTACGCTGCTGCTACTCTGTTAATTATTCATGCATAGTCACTTTAACTCTACCCACATGTACATATTACCTCAACTAGCCGGTGCCCCCGCACATTGACTCTGCAACGGTACCCCCCTGTATATATAGCCTCCCTACTGTCACTTTATTTAACTTCTGCTCTTTTTTCTCTCAACACTTTTTTTGTTGTTTTATTTTTACTTTTTTTGTAAAAAATAAATGCACTGTTGGTTAAGGGCTGTAAGTAAGCATTTCACTGTAATGTCTGCACCTGTTGTATTCGGCGCATGTGACCAATAAAATTTGATTTGATTTGATTTGAGGTCTACTGATTGAACACGACCCTGATCTACAAAGAACTAAATGGGCTGTGGTCAAAACCAAACCTAGTATGAACTGAATTTATAGAGCTCTTTTCACCAGGTGGTCCCAGAACTCCTCCAGTAGACAGTTAATTTGAGTAATTACTGTGTGTGGATTTGGAAAATGGTTACAAGGTAGTTTGATTAAGGCCGTGGCCACATTGGGATTTTGTGTCAAGAGTATTTCGGATGGAGCCAATGCTTTTTCAATGGGAGTCATCCGTTGCTGGATGAATGACAACGGAAATGACTGAACGACACAAAAAGGCAAAAACGGTCCGTCTTTTCACGTATGCAACTCGTCTGAAAAAGAGTTGACAATGATGTACGTCATACACTATTTCATCCATGTTCATGTGTCTCAGTGTCTGAACCCTAAAAGACCTACTCTGTTTGAGGAAGTCCTGGAGTGATGGGCCGATCTCCTGCTCTATTGTCCCAGATCTGCCCTCCTGGGGGTCCTCCTGTAACCATGGAGGGATGGCTCCTACAACACAGTCATCATCACAACCTATTCACCTAGTTATCTACTTACACATATAGACAACAACAATATAGTGACTAATGGACATTGAAGTATCGGTATCATTTTCAATTACCTGTGTGAACGTTTCCACTGTTGGAAGAATCCTGCCGTCCAAAAGGAAAAAATATTAGTAAAGTATTTTATTATTTATTGACAGGTCACTTACTCATTAAGAGAAAATATAGTTGTCATGATTGACGCGCAACGTGTCGGCGTACCTGGTAGCCAATGAAGGTCAGGCCCTGTCCAGGGCCCACCCACTGCCTGGCCACCATTCGGTCTACCCGGCCAGACCTGGCGTGCTCATCAGATCCAGGGGCCCTGAAGTGAGAGCTACTGCCAAAATTCAAATTAACAGCGTCACACCAATGTATACACACACCACAGGTGATACAGAACTCACACAAAGACACAGAGATTACTTGAATAACATTACATACAGCCCATTTACAGGTGCATTCTGTAAGCTTTACAAATGCAAGGAGACCCTGATGTCTATAATATATCTGCCCTGGTCCAATGTGTACCAACAGCAGCTTCTTCCTGATTCACTTAATTTACATTTTACAGTATGTAACAATATCCATGCAAATAATGTTAAATGAGTTTACTAAGCCAGTAAGCTAAGTTAGACATTCATATGTTGTATTCTGCAAAACATACAGGGGTCTATTTCAGCCATTTGGAAAGACCATTGAGTAGTGGGATTTACAGGTCATAGGTTCAATTTGGGAATACATCTGGGTCGTGTTTATTAGGGACTAAACGGAAGAACACGGGCCAAATCGCAAATCGACCACTACACCCTTTTCACTTTTGGAGATCAGAGGATTTGACAGGTGTAAGCAATATGGAAATAGCTCCACTTGCTCACTGATAGGCTAGATGGAAGTTTAACCATATTGCTTATACTTATCAAATCCTGTTAGATCTCCACAAGTGCATAGGGTGGGGTTTAGGGGTCGATTTGGGATTGGGTAATCGACAAACAGATAGGGACTACCTGGACTTGTTCAATAAGAAACAATTTTTTGTTCACCGCTTCAAAACATTCTGCTACGGTGTGCGGTGCCCTACTGAACAACCCCCAGTATATCATTAGGCCTACCGTCCAATAACATTAACACCCTCTTATAGGAGAACACAACAACTTCTTACCTGGAAGCCTCCTCCACTGAGTTGCAAGGGCCCTGTGCGTTCGATAGCTCCAGCTCTGCCTTAGGCTGAGGTTGATTCAGGAAAAGCCAACAGTGGTTCATACACCAGTTGTTTCATCATCACACTATGGGGCCATGACTCCCACAACATGAAGTGACTTTTTTCCTCATAGCTTTCAATAATGTGACAAAATGTGAACTTACATCAGAACATCTATACTGAACAAAAATATAAACGCAACAATTTTACTGAGTTACAGTTCATATAAGGAAATCAGTCAATTGAAATAAATTCATAAGGCCCTAATCTATGGATTTCACATGACTGGGAATACAGATATGCATCTGCTGGTCACAGATACCTTATTGCACGCTCCCTCAAAACTTGAGACATCTGTGGCATTGTGCAGTTGTCACACAACACAATTGGCCTTTACTGTCCCCAGCACAAGGTGCACCTGTGTAATGATCATGCTGTTTAATTAGCTTCTTGATATGCCACACCCGTCAGGTGGATGGATTATTTTAGCAAAGGAGAAATGCTCACTAACAGGGATGTAAACAAATTTGTGCATAACTTTTGAGAGGAATAAGCTTTTTGTGCGTATGGAACATTTCTGGGATCTTTTATTTCAGCTCATGAAACATGGGACCAACACTTTACATGTTGAGTTTATATTTTTGTTCAATGTATGTACAAAACATGAATGAATATAAAAAGTAGATTACATTTTGTCTGTGTCCCAAATGGCACCCTATACATAGTGCTCTACTTTTGACCAGAGCCCTATGAGCCCTAGTCAAAAGTAGTGCACCATATAGGGAATACAGTGCAATTTTGATACCATCTCACTACAAATATCACACATGATCAAACTGGGAAGGTCACAGTGATATGGATACTGTTGTTGCATCCTGGGTAAACAAACCTCTATGAGAGACTGAAGGACCTCCTGGCGATTTTGTTCCTGAGCTCGGATATGAGTGGCTTGCTAGGGGATAGACAACACTCACAGTCAGACATCACCATGGCTAGAACCAAGTTCTCACATTCACAGTCTGGACCGGTATTAATAAATGCATCTCAGAGTCACTAAAAAAGAGTATTACGTGATTGCATTGCATGTCTTCTAGAGGAAAACGTCAGGGCCCGTATTCACAAAGCGTCTCAGTCGGAGTGCCTTTCCGGGGTCCGTTTTTACTTTTAAATCAGAATGAATAAGAGGCGAGACCTGATCCTAGGTGAGCACACCTACTTCGAGATGCTTTGTGAATATGGCCCTGACTTTTTCCTCTAGAAAGACATACAATGCAATTATGTCATATTCTTTAGAAATAACTCTGAGTTATTTCATGTCCTACCTCCTTGATAAACTCATCCTCCTTCTCCTCAAATGAGTCCAAAGCTTTTGCCACCTCTGTTTTAAATCTAAAATGAAAACAAAAGGTTTAGAGGCATATTACACATTTCCCAAAGCACACTTGTAGGCTAATACAACTTTTTAGCAAACGGTAGAGGAGCTATTACCTCTCCATTTCCTTTTCTGTGACTATAACCTTGTCCCTCAGTTTGGGGTCAGCTTTGTTCTCCCACCAGAATGTGTGGGTGCCCTTCCTGTGTTCAGGCCTGATATGACAAGGTGATGTTGATCCATGAGAAATATACACACAGTGCCGAACCACATCTTTACAAGCACATTGGTCAATAATAGTGCCAGCCATCAGAAAAGTCTGTGTTATGCCATTAATACAGAAAAGCAAAAACACTGGGTGAAAGCGTCCCTGCTATATATTAACATGAAAATGAATTACATTAGTTAGTACTGTATCTTACCTGGCCATGTGTTCCAACAAGCCCCCGAACAACACCGTGATATCGCCATCAGTGACGTCTCTCTCCACTTCGAGGCCGCAGCAGTAACACCAACATTTGCGCTTGTGCTGAGTGCAATCAAACTTCTCCACCTGGGGATTTTTTATCGTTCGACGCGCCTCTTTCACCTGTAAAACACAGGCATGTCTTTCAGGAATAGTTAATATGATTGGCATCTCATTGAGCGGGATACAAACATTGCTTCTGTAGTAGCTAGGCCTAGCTAACATTCGCTAGCTGGCTATGTCGGTATTGATAAGGCAAGCAGTTGTTTTTTTACCTTCTCAAGGAATTTAACAAGGACCACTTTGAGTTTGCTCTGGTGACTTTTCCCGAAGATGTGTGCTTTTCCGGAGAAAGATGTTTGCCTACATATCGCACAGTAAAATTCACCCATTTTCCGCACGTCCCTTTGTTTTCTAGACGTTAGACCAACTCCATCCCCAAAAGATGCATTGATCTGATCATGCAGGCTTGTTTATCTGGCTGGCTAGCTAGCTTACGTTACCGTAGCTTACTTGCTAACCGAGCTCTTCCTGCACTGTCTCGTGGAAGATGTTGCGTCTATTTATCATACATTGATCGGTAAGGTGCAATTGCACATCCTGCTCTCACTAAAATATATAGTTACAACAGCTTTAGTAATAACTAGTGTGTACACAAAATGCTCATATTGACCTCGTTTAGACCGTTGTGTATCACTTCCGGGTCAGGTTGTCATTGAACTGTCAATTTTCTTATTCGATGAGGTTTAACGGCGGTTGGCATCCATTAAATGTTAAATTACCGCCACCTACTAGACTGGAGTATACCTCCCGTATACTTTGGTAAAAAAAGTAATAATAATTCAACAAACACCCTACCATCTAACCCTACACTCACTAAAAACCCAGCACCCTACTCCACTATTTAAATATATCTAGTTTAACCTCAGGCCAACAGCCTGAAAGGACGGGACACCACCACTCAATACACCCTATAACTCTTCTGATGTCAAGTCTCGTACACCCAAATACCTCTCTGCAGCTGCCACCACAACCTCAATTTTCTGTGACTTTGTTCCATCCCTGTAGTATGTTGTAGAAAAATGTCCTTATCCTCAGTAAAACACAAAGTACTTGCAGAGTTTTTGTAGAATTAAGATATACTTTATTACACAAGCAAAAGAGTCGAGATGGTCTGCAGAGCAACTCCCTTTCCAACTCTCAGCTCTCAGTTTATATACATTTTCATCCTTCCTCATATTACTCACCTTTTTAGCTTAATCCCTCCCTGTTTAGTTCCTCCACCATTGTTTCCAGTTTTCACATCTTGACCGCCCGCCTACTTCCTTATTTTATAATACTGGCGCAATCTGACTTATTTTCCTTCTATTCAGTCTGTTTTTTGAAACAATGGTGGCGGGACCAAGCCCTGTCATGTAAAAAATAACAGAGCCATTTCCTGGCTCTGTTCTGACCCTTTAATTGATTCTTAAACATAGCAGGTCAATTTTTCTGAGCCTCAATTAATCCTCAAAAATTGTAGGTCCATTCCCTGTGCCATTTCCTGGCTCTGTTTCAGGCCTCTTCCTTTTGCACCATACTTAGCTTGTCATGATGTGATCAACAATGCATTGTTAGCTTGTCATGTTGTGATTAACTATGCTTAACTATGTTCAACTGAAAAATCTCCAATAAGTACAGTTGATAACCATTGCTATTATTGGAGATTGTTCAGTTTAACATAGTAAAGCATAGATAATCACATCATGACAAGCTAACAATGCATAGTTAATCTCAACATGACAAGCTGACAATGCATAGTTAATCACAACATGTCCATAAACTTGACACCTGTAACAACGTAATGTATTCGGCACAAAAGCTCGTACAGGAAAACTTATATACCCTAACATCACTTTCTTGGGCAAAGACTCAACATCAAAACTCAAAAGAACAGACAATGACTCTTGTTTCACCACTCAGGCCCATAGAACTTAAAAATAAAAGGTCCCCATGCTATAATCGAAAATCATCAAAACACATTTCTTCATCATTATATGCAAAAGTATTTTCATATGTATTGATAATATCTATATCGGCCAACTGAGAAGATATTGGATATGGAGGGGCAACTTATGTCTAATGGCAAAATTATTATTTGATTGCGTTTGTATTTTCAAAACAAACATATAAAGGCAACATGTAAAGTGTTGGTCCCTTGTTTCATGAGCTGAAATAAAAGATCCCAGACATTTTCCATACACACAAAAAGCTTATTTCTCTCAAATTATGTGCACAAATTAGTTTACATCCATGTTAGTGAGCATTTCTCCTTTGCCAAAATAACCCATCCACCTGACAGGTGTGGCATATCAAGAAGCTGATTAAACAGCATGATCATTACGCAGGTGCACCTTGTGCTGGGGACAATAAAAGGCCACTCTAAAAATGTGCAGTTTTGTCACACAACACAATGCCACAGATGTCTCAAGTTTTGAGGGCGGGTGCAATTGGCATGCTGACTGCAGGAATGCCACTAGAGCTGTTGCCAGATAATTTAATGTTAGTCTCTACCATAAGCCGCCTTCAACATCGTTTTAGAGAATTTGGCAGTACGTCCAACCAGCCTCACAACCGCAGACCACGTGTAACCACGCTAGACCAGGACCTCCACATCCGGCTTCTTCACCAGCGGGATCATCTGAAACCAGCCAATTATTTCAATTGGCTTATTTCCTTATATGAACTGTAACTCAGTAAAATCTTGGAAATTGTTGCATGTTGTGTTTATATTTTTGTTCAGTATATATTGTGTTTAATGTGTATATTATATTGTATTATACAGGGCGCATTTGGAAAAGTGACCTAGGTGTCTATGTGTCTTCCCTGTCAAAATAAAGGTTACATTTTATTTATTTATTATAGCAACTATTTTACAACCAATATATTTGATATGGCTTTGAGTGGCGCAGTGGTCTAAGGCACTGCATCACAGTGCTAGCTGTGCCACTAGAGGTCCTGGTTCGAATCCAGGCTCTGTCGTAGCCAGCCGTGACCGGGAGACCCATGGGGTGGCGCACAATTCGTCCAGGGTAGGGTAGGGAATGGCCGGCAGGGATGTAGCTCAGTTGGTAGAGCATGGTGTTTGCAACGCCAGGGTTGTGGGTTTGATTCCCACGGGGGGACAGCATAAAAATAAAAATAAAAATAATGTATGGACTCACTAACTGTAAGTCGCTCTGGATAAGAGCGTCTGCTAAAATGACTAAAATGTAAATGTAAAAATGTAGAGGTTGTGGGTTCGATTCCCACGGGGGGCCAGTATGAAAAAGAAAAAAATTATGTATGCACTCACTAACTATAAGAGCGTCTGCTAAATGACTAAAATGTAAAAAATGAGATATGGAGCAGCGTTGCGCTAAATGTGCACCGGCCATTGCGAGTGATGTGAGCTGGTGTGGATAAAATACCAGGGTCGAATTCTTGGCCCAGTCTGTCCTTGCCAACAGTGTTGCCATGTTCGTGGTTTTTATTGGAGATTTTTCAGTTAAACATAGTTAATCAGAGTTAACCACTCTATCTCATACAAGTATAGAAGGAATGACAAGCTAAGTATGGTGCAAAGGAAGAGGCCTCCAACAAAGACAGGAAATGATTATCAGGAAGAAGCCTTATTTTTTACATAATAAGGTTTGGTTGCGCCACAATTGTTTCCAAAAACTGAATGAATAGAAGGAGGAGAAGCCAGATTGCGCCAGTATTCAAGAATAAACATGATTGGCGGGGCGGTCAATATGTTAAGATTGGAAACAATGGTGGAGGAACTAAATAGGGAGGGATTAAGCTAAAAAGGTGTGTACTATGAGCAAGAATGAAACTGTATATAAACTGAGAATATTGGGGATTTTTCAGTAGACTAAGTTAAACTATAAGTTAAACATAGTTAAATATTTTTAGACTATAAGTTAAACATAGTTAATCACAACATGACAAGCATTAAGACTAAGTGGTACAGAAGGAAGAGGTGCCAGGAAATGGACCTGGGAATGGGCCTGCTATGTGTGGGAATTGTACTGCTATGCATGGGAACTGTATATGGTTGAGAATTGTTTATGGCTCAGAAAATGGACCTGCCATGTTAAAACCATGTTTAAGTATTGATTGATATGTTTAAGAATCAACAGAACAGAGACAGGAAATGGCTCTGTTATTTTTACATGACAGAGCTTGGTCCCGCCACTATTGTTTCCAGAAACTGAATACATAGAAGGAAGAGAAGTCAGATTTCTCCACTATTATAAAATAAGGAAGTGGGCTGAGCGGTCAAAAGGTGAAAACTTGGAAACAATGGTGGAGGAACTAAACAGGGAGGGATTCAGCTAAAAAGTATGAAAAATTAGCAAGTATGGAACTGTATATAAACTGAGAGCAGAGTGTTGGAAAGTGAGTTGCTCTGCAGACCACCTCGGCTCTAGTGGTTATGTAATAAAGTCTATATGAATTCTACAAAAACTCTGAAAGTACTTTGTTTGTTTTAATAAGTATAGAGATAATTTTCGACATCATAACTAGTTGTTGAGGAGGAGGAGGTCGTCGGGTAAGCTTGGCGTCGGGTAAGCTTGGCTTTATACATAGCTTGGGCTTTGTTGAGTACGGCTTAAACTATGTATTTAGATTGTAGTTAGGTATTGTAGGTAGTTATCGTGGGTTGTTGTATGTAATTATTGTAGGTTAGTATTGTATTTGGCTGTGCCCGGTGTAGCACGAAGCTAGCTAGCTAACCCACCACCTGGACTAGCTGGCGAGTAGCTATTAGCAACGGTATAGTTGTTTCACGCCCGAGAGTGCCTGTAATTACGCCAGCTGGCTGCCTACAATAATTACATACAATAATTGCCTACCATTCAGCTGTTTTCTAACCTCATTGTCTGAACCGTTAACGTTAGGTAGCAAGTGGCTACTGTGCTTGAAATTTAGCTAGCTTGTTGCTACCTGGATAGCTACTAGTAAACAATAGCTGGAACGACCTAGCGAACAGACGCGAACTGGCTGAGTCAATTCAGTGGCTAGCTTTGCACTTGGCTAGCTAACAGTAGCTGCTAGGGGTAAGTCATAACCTACATTTGTGTTTTGTTTTTTACATATTGGTAGCCCGAGTCGTTCAAGGAATTCGGGACATGGGTGACTAGTTAATGTTAGTTTGGCTCTCTCTGTGTGTTCGTGCCGTGAAAGGAGGGGTTTCTTCTTTGTCTGAAAGCAATGGCTAGCTAGTTTGCTAACTATTCTAGCTAACTAACTGGCTGAATAAGTTGACGACGGACTCGCTCAAGCTGTCGGGACTAACCCACAACGTTAGACACGGACACGAACGATCTGCTTGCGTGTTGACACACTGGTGGTTTGTTGTGGCCGAGTATTGGCGCTAAACCGTGTTGTTGGAGTCCGGCATGCTAGCTGGCTGTGGCGTCTTATGACTAGGTGCCCGGACGATTTTCATGGAATAATACTGTACCTAGTTAGTTAGCTGAATAAACTAAGTTAGTCTATTAATAGAAAACATTGAACCGCTGTAGTTTACAACAATTATAGTTTCTGAGGTGGAAGTTGGGAGAGTTATATTTGGGAGTTGTGGTGAGGGAGGCCCCGCTCTCTCCTTTCCCAGATGTTTAGTTCATTTCATTCCGATCTCCTCTGCATTATTGTAGCCATTTGCTGCAGCCTGTCAACTA